TTTAATGCTGTACTTTGCTGAGGAGGATGGAGACAGGGATGCCTTTAAGGTGCTTGCTTGTCTTTCGCCATCTCAAAGCCACTGGGGGCTCAGGGAGCTGCCTGCAGTGTGCTTGGAAGCTGACAGGAGAGGAGCAGGACATGGCCCAGCCTCATCCTGCAGTTGCTCAGGCTGAGTCTAGATAGTCTATGGGAGCTGAGGAAGAGCACTGCCAGCTCTCTGCTCCCTGGGGAAGCTTCTCAAGATGAGGTTTACATGAGAGCTCTAAAACGGGCCAGAGGCTACATTATTTGCCTCTCTCCTTACAGGCAGTGTGAGACAGCCCCAGCCACCGAGGTGAGAGCAGCAGTGGTGGGTGAAGCACAGCCCATGGCTGTGAGCAGGATCTGACCCTGCTTCCCCTGAGGGATAAGGAGCCAAGTGGGCATCCATCTGGAACCAGGGAGGGCATCACAGTAGCTGATCTGATTCCACCTGCATGTGTAACACAAAGATTAAGATGTTGCTTGGCAAACCAACCACATGGTAGGCTGCAGCTCAGCAGTTCTTCACCCATTTTTTTCAGGGCTTCAAGACATTCTGGCCTCATGTGGGTATCCTGTTTGTTTAATGGTTTACAAAACACTACTTACGTGTGCCCCTTCTCCTCATCTGGATAGGGTTGTGGTGTGCTATAAACCTCACCTGCCACGTTATCAGGAGCACCATGGATCACCCGGGCATGTTGGTGGAGAAGGGAGGTTGGGCAATAGCTGCAGATCGGACCTGGACATCAGCAGCTCAAATCTCATGCAGGAGAGTGGAAAAAGCATGCCACCTGGCAGCTCTGTCACCCAGGAGTGCTGATTTATTTTCTTCTCACATCCTCTGTGAGCGCTGATTTCTCCTGTAACCAAGCAATCGCCTCTCTTCAGGGGAAGGGAGATGAAAGGTTGGGTGACTGCAGCGGCTGCCTCTTGGGCAGCACGTGGACCAGCTTGTGAAACACAAGCCCTGTCTGCCTGACCGTGCTGGCAGGACAGTGATGCTCCAGCTCTGAGCAAGCTCCCTGTGGCGCCAGCACCCTCAGGCTCCTGTGGGGGCTCTTTTCCAGACCCTCTGGTTTTCATGGATGCAGGAAGCTCAAGCATATTCTGCTGCTGCAGCAAGCAGAAAATCAGCTGAGCATCTGCTGTGCCCTGATCAGCAGGTCATGGCTCTTAACAAGACGCAGGAGCCTTGGGGCTACTTGGCTGTCATTAAAATGGTGTGGATGGAAGGAGAAGTCTAATGGACTGAACAACAGCCTGTGCTGTGTAATTAAACTAATTGTGGCTCTACCTGCATGGGTTAGAAGTGACTTGTGTGGCTGTTACAGCACTGAAAAATAAAAGGTGGAGAGGTGTGAAAGTATTTCTTACATGCGTTTCCACAGCTAATTTTGCTGTTTCATTTCAGGCAATTTTATGCCTTTGAAATTTTTGGTTTATATCGAATTGGAGGAGACTGTTAATATTTCGCACTGAAGCAGGGGAAAGCAAAAGGTCACTGTTGTTAGCAGTTTCAGGTGGTAGCTTTCCAAGTGGAGGCAATACTTTTTCAGGGCTGTTTTCTTATTTGAGGTGAAATTCCTCACGAAAGGGAGGGGAAGGGCTGTTTTCCAGAATGTTTCAGCCTGGCTCTGCACCCGCTGGGGACCACGCACAATTGTTTTTATTGACTTGAGCAGCAAAAGACCAGGCCTTCTGCACGACTCAGTGGAACTCAGGTCACTACTTTACTGCCAGGGATTTATGACCCTTGCTTTTCCTGATTGCTCTGAAAGTCTCGGCTTCAGAATACGATATCTTTAGAAGAAGTCAAATGAGAAATCTGCTATAGTGTCATGTTTAAACTCTTTGACCTTGTTTTCAAGTCCTTGCAAAGCGGAGCCCACCTCCAGTTTGTAGTTCTGCTGTTATTGATTATCATTTCAAGTCCTTCAGGCGTTTTGGTGTGCCCAAAGTGCCGTGTGCTTTTGGGAATGAATAATGTGACATGACAGAGAGCTACTCAAACTGACTGCTCTCTCTAGGCTGTCAGCACAGGGCAGAGCCCTGCGCTTATGCTGGAGGAGATGCATGTGGATAAGTGGAGGGGCTGATGCATTTTGTCCCAGTAGACCGCTTGTCCAGCGTGTGAGCTGATATCTAAACATAGGAGTCAAACACTCGGCCTGGAGCAACCCAGTGACTTCATTTTTCCTGGTCAGAATTGTGTGTCCAAGGAAGGACATGGCACAGCTGGGCTGTGGGACATGACTGAGCCCTTCTTCCCTAGTCATCCATCACTGTAGGAGACAGGACAGTAAGTGGGATGAACCCTAGGTGGGTGCTGTTGACTCTCTATCTCTTCATTGTGGAGAAACCACTATAAATCTAGTTTATTTTATCTGAGCTGGAGATGAAGGATCTCACTTCTCAGGTAAGAAGTAGCTGCCAGTGTGCTCTGCTGCTCCTCTACAATCTTCCCACCAAGTATACTGAATACAAGATGTGACCACCTCAATTGGTCCAGAACTGTGGCAGCAAGAACAGGGAAAAGAGCGAAGGGAGAGCAGGATATATGCCTACTTTTAAGGATAGCATCTTACCTACTGTTTTTTGTCCCAGAAAAAGAGAAGTGAATCAAAATGGCTTCCGCCGAGCCTAATTTGTAATGTCTCCAGGCATAGCTAAACATCCTGACTTAGCCCAGCTCTGAATTCCTCCCAGGGGGTTTGATGCTATTTCTGCTGTTTTGATTTATAAATTGTCTTTATTTTACTTTCCTCCTACATGATCTGTATGATCTTTTTTCTCCCTGCCTTACTGAGGAGACAGGAGCTGGTGCTTGCTATACACAAGATGTAGGACAGAAACGGGATCTGTTAACCAAAGCTTTTCTTTGTCTGTCCAGCAATGCTTTCTTCTGGCATCTGCTTCATGGGCTATGTGAAACAGTCTTTTCTCCTCAGAAGGCTTTTTTGTGCTGCCACTTACTTCTGGGCTTACCTGCAGCCATCCTTGGGCTAGAGGAGTTGTGAAGCTCAGGGCTGCTTCCACAGCTCAGTGGGGTTTGGTTACACTCTTCATCCCCCACCAAGTTTTCTGGCTTCTCCAATGGCGTACCAGAATGGATCACAGTTATTTTCTGGTTCAGCCATTCCCTTCACAGTTGACACAGTTTTTCTAGCCTCAGCAACAAATCTGGTGGGAGAAGGAAATCCATCTGTTGTAACCATGGGGTGTCCATTACAGTAAGCAGGAGCCAATACTGCTGTTGAGCCTGGGCTTGGGAGACCGTCTGTGTTGAGGACGGTTCAGAAATGGGAGTTAATGAGTCCCCCGATCATCTCATGGTGCAAATGGGTACTGTTTGCTTACAAGTCTGACAAGAATAATCAGCTCAAGCAAGGCCAGCTTTAACTGCTAGAGCATGCCACCTCCTAGAATCATAGAATCAGCTAGGTTGGAAAAGACCTTTAATATCAACAAGTCCAACTTCTATCCCATCACTGCCAAGTCCACCATTTAAATTCAGCTCTGTGTAAAATGGACTGAGAATGCCTTCTGCACTGGCTGAGGGCAGATGCTGAGGGTAAAACCAGGAAAAGTAGCGAGTGATACTTCCTTGGAAGAGCCCCTCGACCTCCAGCAACTTATAGCTCAGGGATTTCCTGAACTGCAGTGGCAGCACCTGGTGGATTTTCCTTCCATTATTTTTCCTCTTAATTTCCTCTTTGAAGTCATGTAAACTCTCAGCATCCAGCATGTGCTGGAGTTGGGAGTCTTGCTCCATAGCTGTGCGTTTTGTGGACTACCACCTTTGGTTCTTTTTGAACCTACCACCTCCTCTCCTGGTCTAATCCCCTGTAGTTCTTCCATCAGAAACGGTGAACACTCATATACTAAAACACTGATACATTTATAGGCCCCTGTCAGTCACCTCTTCCACAGGCCAATGGGTTCTAGTTCATTTAGCCTTTCCTCACATGGAAGACGTTCCACTCTTTTGAGCTTCCTTTTGGCTCTCCTCCATGTCTTTTTCTGACTTTACAGGAAAGGGAGAACTGCATTTAGTTTTCAAGACATGAGTACAATACTGTTTCAGACACTGGTGTAATAATGTAGCCTGTTCTTCTTCCAGAACGGTTTTGGTGTCCTGGTTAGATAGTTCTTAGGACCTAAAAGGAATGGAAATACTAATTAGATGTTTAGTCAGACTCATACAAATAATTCTCAGGGCTTTGGAGCCCTGACTTAGTGGGATTCCAATGGTTCACAAGCTGCCTATAGTCACTATCAAGCATCATCTGAATACACCTGGCAATTTGAGTATCAATCACATTCAACATGGTGTACAAGATGGTGCTGAGTAGATCAGTGATTTCCTTGCCAGGCATTGCAGGTGCACAGCTGTGATCACAGCTTTGCCACTGCTATGACAGGAGATTAAGGCACAGAGTTGCAATGTGGGGCATGTCCGTAGTGGGGCTGCTGTTGCAAACTATACTATCACAGCCATACACAATCTCACAAATCTGGTGCACTCAGATTTGGGCCCCAGACCTGGGGGATGCCCTTCTCCACTGTCTCTCAGACATGCTAGCTATATTTCTCTGCTTGGACTGCTCTATGGAGGGTCACCCACAGACTGTGACTTCCCTGCATGCACATGGGTCCTGGAGTTTTTCTTGCAGAGCAGCGTTGGGATGAAGAGGAGGTAAGATGAGAGTTGAGGGGTTTGCTACATGCTGGTAACGACCCGGTCTAAGCCTGTTGCCAGCAGCCTATATGACCAGGTCTCCTTGGAAGGGCAGCTGTGGAGAAAGACAAAATTATCCTTCTCTTTCTCTCTGTTGAAAGCAGACACGCGTGGATAAGCTGCACTGATATGCACCAGTCTATCCAGTGAGTCCACCTCAGACCCAGCAAGGTCTTCCCTTAAGCCAATTACATTAACACAGGATACCTTCTTTTTTCATCTTTTTCATCAGGAGCTTTGCCCAGCACTTCCCATTCTGTTCGTGCTTGGCCAGGGTGGAGGCTGCCCTTCCTGCTCATCCATCGCCAGAACAAGAGTGCCCACACATCTGAGTCACGATGGGCAAGATGGACAACACCTCCGTGGAGCTCAGCTCTCCCTCCGAGGTGAAGCAGGCAGCCCTGGAGGAGTCAGAGCCCATCACCCCTGAGGCTGTGAGCACCAAGAAGAAGAAGGAGATCCCAGACAGAGGTTCCTGGAAGGGAAGATTTGATTTCTTGCTGTCCTGCGTGGGCTATGCTATTGGGCTGGGCAACGTCTGGCGCTTCCCGTATCTCTGTGGCAAGAACGGAGGAGGTGAGAGAAACGCTCAGCACTGTGCTCATCCCTGAGCAGTCTTGTCCCCTGAACCAGCTTCTGTTTGGTGCAGGTCTGGGCAAGGGGCTGGTCACCTGGATGAGAGCTCCATGACATGAGTTATTAAGCTGTCAGCAGGACAGTTCCCATAGTCTGTGGGCTTACTAGCAAGCGCGGGTTGGGAAGAAGCAGGCCAAAGAAACAAGGAGTTTTGTGAAGCTTCTGCAGTTCAAGTTTGCAGGGCTACAGTAGCTACAGAATGTCTGGGACAGCATTTATTTACAAAGATAAACATAAATTCACACAGGCACCCAGCTGGATGCTGAGGCATTCCCAGGGAAATCAGATTATATCTGTTCATAGTGGATTTCTTCTCCATCTAGAGTATTCTTAAGGGATAACCATTTTGCATCTGAGTTTGGGTCACATCTCTGAGGAGTTTTGATTAGAAGCTTTACATGGACCATAGCAGGGCAGTATAGATGTATAGACACGCATGCATGCATACGTACACGTACACAGAACATGAGTGTCATCATCTGTGGAAGGAAATAAGCTTTGACTTACTACTAGTGCTGTGAGAAGGGTCACAATTATTGTCTCTATCTTAATCCTAATGTTTGGAAAACAGAGGCCACAAGAGAAGGCACCAACTGGCAGAGGACTTGCAGTAGCTGTGATGCAGCTGATAGCAGTGCCCTCCTCTGTGGATAGCTAACACCAGCTTTTCCATTCTTTTTATTATTGTGCCACTTCATCCTTCCTTTATCAGCTCTCATCTGGGACTTTGCCAAGCCATTGCAAGGCTAGAGGAAGGCAGGCAGAAGGGGAAACAGTGCTGGGCTAGAAGTCACGAGACCTGAGAGATCAACTCTCTCCCCAGCTACAGGCTTTCTGCTTGTCTTGGATGAAGTCTGAAAATACATTCTTGTGCCTCAGCTCCCCTTCGAGAGTCTCTTCTCACACTGCTTCTCCACATCGTTTTTCTTTTCCCTTTGCCTTGAATTCCCTTTTCAAGACCCACTTTGTCTTTGGCTCTCATGACTTCTCCTCATATCTCCAGCCCACTTCTGCTGTCTGTGCTGTACATGGTACAGGATGCCCTTCTCTTCCCATGCTGGGAAAGAGGTGCGTGGTCTAGCTCCCTGCAGTGCTCTGTCCTTGCAGCTCCATGGCATTTAGGGGGATCTTGACCCTTTCTTTGAAGCACATGGAGTGAGTCCCAGCAGGAGACTGGACAGTTATCCAATTCAGTATCATTTCATGCAGAGGTAGGAGTGTGCAGCTGAGCAGGGTGAGGTTTATGGGGATCAGCCAGGCCTACCTAGGGGAGCCTGTGCCACCATCATTGCCAGAGCTATGGTGCAGTTCTGCCATTTTTATCTAGCCACACTCTGAAACCTGACTGCAATAGCCCTCCTCATACAACATTAGCCCCATGGCTAAGTCCCAAGCACTGGTTTTCAGCTCAGCCTCTCCCCTGTGATTGCTGCGCCATCTCAAACGCACCCAATCTGTGCTGCCTGTGGCTCTGTCTCCTCACACACAGAGGTGGCGGTGACAAGATCTGTAATAAGATGAGGGGTGTTTTGAAGCTAAAACCAGTCCTACATATAAAGTCAGATGAGATCCTAGGACGGAGGGTGTTGTGGAGGTGTGGAGCACTATTGTTAGCACTAGCAGTGGCACACAGGGTGAGCTGCAGGCATACAGAGGGATCAGCTGGCTGCGAGCAAAAACACAGGGCAGAAGAAACATGACAATTGGTGCCTGTGTCCTCTCAAAACCCCTTCCCTGTCTGCCGGTTCGTGCCGTTCGTGTCAGCCTGTACGGCTCGTTCCGCTCACCTCTACCCGGTCTGGCTGTTCGCAGGCATGACTGTTCCCATAGCCGGCAATAATGAGCAGCGAGTGGAGGCTGCTGATGCCGGAGACAGGCGGGAGAGCTGACGCACGAACGCGTCACCGGGAGTCGATGCGGAGCAGCGAGGAAGGGTCGCACGGCATCTGATTCGCGATCGGGTGGGCACTGTCTTGGCTCTGCCTCCGGAGCAGAGCAGACTGTGGGTGGGAGCCTAATTTTAGCATGCTGCATGTGCGCTGCTCAGAGCATGGTCGTGTGGGCTGCTTCCATTACGCACAGGCAAATTGAACTGAATGGAAATATTGCCGTCTCGCTTACCACTGTCACATTGTATCGGCTCACGGGTGATTTGCTCGGCATTGTAATCGGGCACGTAATTAGGGGATATTCAGCCCAGCGGCGTGAGGCCCATCTGCTGTGGGAGCAGGCTTTACCCAAAGTGATGCCAGGGCTCCCTTCTGGCCCTGCACACTGCTCAATGTGCCTAGCTATGACTAATACTCCAGCTCTACACCGATTGTTAATTTCATGCAGTCCTTCTGATGTCAACAGGATTCTACCGGTCTAAATTGACTCTATATGCAGCTCAGAAGGGACTAAAAATTGTCTGTGTGATCCTGAGCTTGAATAACTTGAGAAAAGATGTTTCTTTAAATAAGCATCATGCATTTCTCATTTACACGACGAGACTCCAAGCAATGGCATGTAACAGCTTGTAATGCTCAACTTTTGATTTGTGGGCAGCGTTTGCAGTTTTGACGATTAATCGTTATTCCTTGCACTGCTGTGCATCAGGAGTTGGAGACTGCAGGTGGATTTGGGGTTACACAGTGAGGGCCAGGTGCTGTGTGATCCTTTCCCTGCTTCCAAGAGCTGGTGCCCTGAGAAGGCAGGATCAGCACCATCACCCATGGGCTTTGGAGACAAGTTTGGACTCTCCCAAGGTCACACAGTCATTTGTAGCAGGCCCAGGAACTGAACCAGACCTTTCCGCAGCCCATCCAGGGCTGGAGGTTAAAGACCATCCCTTTCTCTCTGTGCCAAGGATTTAGGCACAGGCATGCAACCTTTAGGTATACATTTCAGAACTGATTTCCCCTTTGGCTTTATGGCACCCAGGGATGCTATCCGTGCCTCCTCAGGGACCTGGCCCTCCAGATTGGAAGTGTCATTGCCAACAGCCTTCAGTTCAAGGCTGCAAGTCTGGTTTTAGATTTTCCCTTATTCCAAGGGATTTTTATCAAGCCAGGATAAATAACCTGGGTCCAAAAGTTTGTTTTTTTCCTTTTCTCAACAGTCTAATAGAGTCTCCCACCTACAAATCCTCCTGGCTTCCTGTAGATGTGAAATAATACAGGATCATCAGGCCTGTGGCCAGTTTTCATTATCTGCTTGCACAGAAGTGAGCAAAGCACTGTGACTGCTGATAATCCTTATCTCCAAACTCTACAATGAGGTACAGCAGTAGCTAGGCCGCATCCGTGTTCTCAGACGAGACCTGCAGGGCTCCTAGGATGCTGGAGCTTGCAGGCTGTGGCAACTAGCAAGGGGAGGATGCTGAGCAGGCAGTGATGCCCAAAGCTGTTTGCTCCTCCGTGCCAGGCTGCTGGTGAAGCCGAGAGCCTGCACTTCCATGCCAGCTTGTGATTCAGACTCATGGTCATCGAGCTGCTGGCCTGCAGCATGTTTTCTCCCCGCCACCCGCTGCCAGCTAGCTCCTCTTGCATGCTGCCTCCCATGCATTCCCTTGCCGGCTGCTGGCACCTGCCTCTCCCAGCTGGGCTCAGCTCCCTGCTTGGCAGGCAAGTGTCCCCAGCTGGGTGTCCCCTGAGCCAGCATCCCTGGCTGTGCCTCGCTGCTTCCCAGACCACGGAGAGCAGCTGCTGGAGCCTGGCTCTGCCAGCTGTAAGTTGGGCTGCAGTGCTCCAGAGTGGCTGTGCTTGCTGGCTCTGTGCTTGCTTTACCACTAGTATCTGGAGAAGAAAACTCAGGCTGACAGCTCAGCCCCCTGGCTAGTGCAGAAACCAGTGCTGGCCCAAGCACGGCCAGCTGCTTCTGCACAGCATCCCCTTTTTCACCGCAGCCAAGAGTTTGTCCTTCTTAGGAATGATGGCATGCTCCAGCACATGCATGAGGAAGCTGGGAAATGAGTTTTGTCCCAAGCCCTAGAAGTCAGGATGATCTGAACATGTACAGCCTTCAAATCACATGGCGAGGCTCTCGTATTCTGTTTGCTCTTCTAATAATGGAGTGCAAGTAATATCTCTAGTAAATGGCTGCATTAACTAATTTATAGTGATGAGATGATTTCCATGGGACCCATAGAGAAAAACAGTATTTTTGCCAGGAACTTACAGGGTAAAACCTAGAACAAGGCTGGGGAGGTATAGAGAGCAAATACAGTCTTAGCCATAGTTTCCTTAAGAGACTAAAATATCTGTAAACAAAGAAAGTAGTGGCCAATGCCAGATATTCCTGTGCCCTTTCAACACAAGCTAAAGAACTGGGAGCTGCTGCAGGTATGACAGAAGATACCAACAAGAAGGAATTACCAGTGTCAGTGCCCAAGTGTTTGGGTTTGTTGTCAGATTGGGTTTAGGATTGCCTAAGTATCTAACAACAAAGTGGGACTGGCATCACAAAGCTAGTGATGCTAGTATATGCATATATATGATTGATACATATATATCCATAGTGATAGGAACAGATCAGAGGAAAGCAGCGGTGATGTCATGGGGAAACTCACTGAACACACCAACTCCAGTTGTAAGCTGTCACCTCCAGGCAAGTCTGCTCCTCATTACCTGGGTGCTGCAGAGCAAGAAACTGCAGCTGGAGGTATATGCTTCATGGCAAAAGGGGTAGCCACCTGGTAACATTGCTTCTTCTTTCAGGGGCCTTCCTCATCCCATATTTCCTGACGCTGGTGTTTGCTGGGATTCCTCTCTTCCTGCTAGAAACTGCTTTGGGCCAGTATACCTCTGTCGGTGGATTGGGAGTCTGGAAGTTAGCTCCCATGTTTAAAGGTACTGTACTGTCAGTTTGTGAAGGTGATGGCACATAACTACAGACAAAAACTCTTTTGGGAAGCAAATCAGCAAATCCCTGGGGACTGGGATGGGGTGCAGGTGAGGGGAGGTTTTTCCCTCTGTCTTCACTAAGCTATCCTTCACCTGTAATCACTAACATCACTGTGTTCTCTTTAAGCAATCTTGTGTGGTAAGAAGGCATTTCATGAGCAGCAGGATTGCAATGGAGGGGCTCTGGCTGCAGAAGACCTGATCCAACCCTCCCTATGGAGGCTTACTTTAATTGCACGGGAAAGCTGTACACGGGGAACATGAACCTCTTGCCATGAACGGAATAACTACATTCTGGAAACTAGTGGTGATTTGGAAATGCCTTTTATGTGGGAAAAATCAGTTCTGCCAGGGAAGTGGCCAGATCCTGTTTTCGTGGAGCTCTGTCCCTAAAGTACCCATAGCATACTGTAAGATAACACCCAGTGGAAATAGGTGGATGAGAGACTGAGGGAATGAGCCTCTCTTGCTGACCAGCTCACAGCGCGACTCTAATACATGCTGTGTTGATGAGCTGATTTGCTTTTTCTGGCGTTGCCACAAAATTTACTGTGGCGCCCACGAGCTCAAATGGGTACCAGAGATCTTGTTTGATGCTCTCTGCCTTCATGGTGCTGCTCTCTGCCTTCATTCACAGGAGTGGGACTGGCAGCTATGATTCTCTCCTTCTGGCTGAACATCTACTACATTGTCATCATTGCCTGGGCTCTCTACTATCTCTTCAACTCTTTCACTGCGGTGAGTCACAGACATGTCTGCCGTGCAGCATTGAGTGTATTTTGGGTTTAGTCCCTGCTTTATGGGAAGTGAGTTTTTTGTGCCACAAAACATGTGCTACCTGCTTGTAGTTTGTGCAATGAACCTTTCTCAGCACCCTGCTGTGTCCTTCCTGAAGAGGTTCATCAGCTCTGAGGTTCATCAGCTCTGGAGGCTGTTGCGCTGATCGGCGCTGATGCTTGTCTTCTGGAGATAATATTCCTCTGAAGGGGATGGCCTCATCCCCTCTCTGGGAGCTGTTCCTACTCATGTCAGTCTTTAAAACTCACCCTGTTGTATTTCTAGAGCTGTGTGAATCTGAGAGCTGCACATTTCCACAACTGATTTTGTAACATGTTCTTATTACCCAGGACTTAGTCATGACCTCAATTAGTCCTCACTTACACTTCTCTTGATAAATGAAATACAAAGGATTTTTTTTTTTTCTAGGAAAAAGATTCAGAAAGCATTTAAACATCTGCTTGTGACTGTCCCTTAGCATGAACTTTGGCATTGATGTTTATAGTGGATTCCTCTATTGCAGGGTCTTTTGCCATACAAGGTTAGAATCATACCCCACAATAACTTCTTGGTGGCTGAATTATTTATTTCAGCCCAGCAGCTGACAAGATCTCCCTCAACTTAACTCTCTGAGCAACCTGCAACCTTAAAGATACCAGCCTTATGGTTCAAATGAGATCTTTTCTCATTTCGTTTAGATATAAACCTGAAATGCTGCTCTGAATGATGTACACCCAGTTTGAATTTTTGTTTGATTTCAAGTGCATATCAAGACTTTGGGTAAAATAGTCTGTTTGGTGTTCCCAGCTCTGCTTCTACCACCAATACCCACTGTAGGATCCTGGGTCAAGAACAGAATTGTTGGTCATGGATTATTAGGTGCACCCTCAGGGGATTCCTAAATGGAAAGAAGTCTACCCCAAAGGAACCCATCCTAAGTTACACCCTGAGAAGGATGTAACTTAGGATGAGGCTTTGGTACATTCAGGTGTCAGACCTGACTGGTGACAGCGCTCATATCTGCACAGGCAGTTCCAGAGGTGTGGCTCAAGAATTTTTAGAATCATAGAATAGAATCATAGGATAGTTAGGGTTGGAAAGGACCTTAAGATCATCAAGTTCCAACCCCCCTGCCATGGGCAGGGACACCTCACACTAAACCATGCCACCCAAGGCTCTGTCCAACCTGGCCTTGAACACCACCAGGGATGGAGCATTCACAACCTCCCTGGGCAACCCATTCCAGTGCCTCACCACCCTAACAGTAAAGAACTTCTTCTTATATCCAGTCTAAACTTTCCCTGTTCGAGTTTTAACCTGTTACCCCTTGTCCTATCACTACAGTCCCTAATGAAGAGTCCCTCCCCAGCATCCCTATAGCCCCCCTTCAGACACTGGAAGGCTGCTATGAGGTCTCCATGCAGCCTTCTCTTCTCCAGCCTGAACAGCCCCAACTTTCTCAGCCTGTCTTCATACGGGAGGTGCTCCAGTCCCCTGATCATCCTCGTGGCCCTCCTCTGGACTTGTTCCAACAGTTCCATGTCCTTTTTATGTTGAGGACACCAGAACTGCACACAATACTCCAGATTCCCAAAAGGTACCAATAACAAAGTTACACTGATGCCTGTCCCCTGCCTCTTCTAAATTTGACTGGGAGTCTTTTGAACCTGAATAGGAGCCAAGCTTGCCTTCCACAGTTCCTATCCTCTGAAATTCAGAGAAAATGGAGAAGCAACAAACTCTTCCCCTGCCTGCCCCTCCTTATAAGAGATGTGTGGACTTATAAGTCTCTGCAAACTGCTTGGTTGAAGGGCTGCTGTAAGTGCTGCTTGACTCGTTGCATCTGCTTGAGGGCAAGCAGCAAGTCCAAAATAAAATCGCTGGGTGGGTGCAAACAACCTGAGTGGCCATTGGGGTTTCCTTGCCTGTATCTACCATAGCCCTTCTTCTGCCAAGCCAGCATGAACCTTAGGAGGTATCATCTGCTACAGTGAACTGATTTAGATGGCAGGTGAAGGCAGCACTTAAATGCACTGATGCCTCAAAGCACTTAAAACACAGATAGTATTTCTAAAGGGGTTTGTGCTCATGGATCAATAGGAATTCTTAAAGCTTTGTTGAGCTGGAGCCTGAGGACTTTTCTGCAGAGGGAAATCATCCAGAATAGCCGTTCTGTGTTTATCTACATGCACTACACTCAGGAAATCCGATTACTGCTCTTGTTGGGTTGCCTTGGCTGTGGCACTACATGGCATGGGTGGGTTGCCCTGTGTGCTCATGCAAGCCCTGATGCTGTAGTCTCATTGCTTGTAGTGCCAGAGCTGATTGTATTAAATCTGTAGCAGTGTGCTGCTGTCACACTGCTACCTACTGTGTAAACATCTCCCAGGAATCCCTTTGTGCTGCTTATAATCAGGGCAGGGATTGTATGAAATAGCTACTATGCTTTAAATTTACTCCTGGGCTTATGTTACAGTAGTTTATTCATGTAGACAAACTGTTAGCTCCCATTCTCAATGCTACATTGCTTTTTAAGCATTGAAGCTTGGTATAAATGAGAGATAAGAAATAAATCAGTGTTTATTCTTTGTGAAGTAAATTCCAGCCACTTGTTGAGTGAAGCTAGCCTAAAGCTGTAATGACTACAAACACAATATCCCCCAGTAGCTATTTTAATTAGTAGCTATTAATTACCATCCGTTAATTGGAAATGGCTTTCTGTCCGGGGAATTGCTAACATTTTATTAGAGCTATTGCATTCCTATAAGCACATCATGATACTGTTTCCTGGAAAATCCGTGTCACAATTTATCATTATTTTGGCTACAAGGCTCCTGCCCATCCAGAGGAGATGCCTGTCCTCTTCACAAGAATAAATGGGGTTTCAGACTGAAAGAAGCCAAATCTTGCTTCTTGCTGCTGCCCTTGGGAGATGTCACGTTAATGATAACCCTGCTCTCGTTGTGCCGGTGCAGGACCTGCCGTGGCAGAGCTGTGGGAATGCCTGGAACACCGATCGCTGCTTCTCCAACTATTCCCTGGGCGACACCACCAACCTCACCAGCGCTGTCACCGAGTTCTGGGAGTACGTCCTCAGCCTGCCTACACCAGGTTTCTCCCCATTGCCGTGGCCATCTCGCCTGCTTGCTGTGGCTGTGCCTGTGCCTGCTGGCACCTTTCCTTGGTCAGCCTTGGCAGAAGGGCATTAGAGCTGACCATTGGCCAGGGTGGGCGCGGGGTGCACTGTGCAGCTGCAGGTCAGATGGATAAAGAGTATAACAGCCTCTCTGCCTCTCTTCTACTTCCTTTACCCCACCACAGTGTCCCTTTATGGATTTACAATCTCTTGTGCTTGTCTGCAACTGGCTCTTCAGCAGCCACCTCCAGGATCTCTGTCCCCAGGGGATGGACTTCCCCTTACCCCAACTTCTCCCATCCCCAGGAGGAACATGCACCAGATGTCTGGAGGCTTGGGGGAGCCCGGCACCATCCGCTGGCCCCTGGCCGGCACACTGGCCCTGGCCTGGCTGATGGTCTACTTCTCCATCTGGAAGGGTGTGGAGTGGACAGGCAAGGTACGGTGCAAGGATCAGGTGTTTCAGTGCTGCCTCTCAATGCTGTACTATAGAAATGTCCTCTGGGCTCAAATTTGTCTAAGTGCCTATAGCTAAGATTATGGGACTTGGGAAGAGATTTTCAGAGATTACTTACACTTCCCACCTTGGGACAGCCCTTTGAGAGACCAAGGCCTCTTCTCGGCTTCCCCTTTTGAAAATCACGGTCTCTTAAAATGTTGCTGGTGGAAATAAAACTCATCAACTCCTTTGAAAGTATTCCTCCTGCCCTTTAGGTATTGATGGGAGACCTTCAGATCAGAAGCGTGTTGTTATTCACTGTATAGCATTTCAGGCTAGCGCAGTAGAAAGGTAATTGCTTAGTTTAGTGAAACAGCGGTGCTGAAATGCTGAGATGTATTATTCGGAGCACAGTGTGGTGTAGCGGGACAATATTATGAAAGGAATAATCTAGAGGAGAGATCAGAAAGAAGCACTTCAGGCATAGGTCACTTGAGCTGTTAACTTCCCTGATGGCTCTCAAATAGGTTTTAGCTACACAGCCACAGCAAAGCCCTGGCAGTTGCTGGTACAGGCCCTGTGATGAGGGGTGTCATGTACCTACAAGTCCCTGAAACAGTGCTGAAAAGAAAGCAGTGGAGTCAAGACTCACATTGCTTGATGCATTGGACTAGAGAAACATGTTTTAGCTCTTCAGTAAGGATGTGATGACTTAAAGGGATTACTTCTGTGGACTAAATTTATCCCTGTGCAATTCCCTTGTCTTTGGGCAATTCATCCAGACTTTAGCCTGCTACTTTTGTGATTAGTGTGTCCTTGCGTGTCATTGGCAGGGGGAAACCTCAAACAGCCAGAAACATCACTAGCATAGGAGCGGGAGACAGAAAACACGTTGCCAGAAGTGGCTGTGTGCGGGCACCCTTTCTCCCTCACAGGGGACACACCGAATGCAATGCCCCCACGGGCAGGAAAGCTCCTGGGCAGTGGTGAGCTGATGACTTCTCTCCTGTGGTGTCTCCTGCAGGTGGTGTATTTCTCAGCCACCTACCCCTACTTCATGCTTTTCATCCTCTTCTTCCGGGGAGTCACACTGCCAGGAGCCAAGGAGGGGATCCTCTTCTACCTCACACCCGACTTCAGAAAGCTCTCTGACTCTGAGGTTTGTATGCTCTTGCCTCCTGGGGGTCTTTGCATTAATCTTCCTTGGTCATTTCAATATTAAGTATTAAACCTCCCCTGGAATAGTTCCTTGTTCAAGCAGTTATGACCCTCACAGACTGAGCAAAGCTGGAGGGCAGGCCCTTTGTGGATGGCAATCTGTGTAGCAGCTCTGGTGTACTCAAGCAGTGTTATCCATAGGACAGGGTGGGGGGTAGTTTCCTTTATTTCCCCAATAGGGGAAACTCCCCTCTGGGCTGGGAATGCTTCGTTTCACTGACTGTCCCAGGGCTGGTGACTTGGGCTTGATCTGGTGGTCCCAGAGATAGGATGATGCTGTGCACTGGCATGGGGGCCTCAGAAGTAGCACCAGCACAGCAGTACACAGCAGCAATTTTCTTGGAAGGCCTTAAACGGTGAGTGGTGGCCAGTAATGTTGCATTGGGTAGTGCAAGCACAGAGGGGACTCAGGAAGAGGATGATGGCTTGCAAAGGCAAAGCTTTTCAGGACACACAGACTCTGCCTTTTGCATCAGCGATACTCTTGTGGCTCCAGCGTCACCAGTCATGTGTGAGTGGAGACAACTAGACACCCATCATTTCCGAAGGGTTCCAGTGAGCCCTCTTGCAGGACACCCACTGTAACTGCACTGCCAGTTTCATTGGCTCTAATCCTGGAAATGGTCTCTCAAGACCAGAGGAGTTGTTTAAATACTATGCCATTAAGAAAGGAACAGTCTGCCCCCTGTTCTTGTGCCTTCTAGGCTTTAAGAGCTTAGGGCACTGGGACCAGCTTTGCAAGCTGTCCTCTGCAGTTGTTTGGACAAGATACTCTGTGTTAAAAAATCCTGGTTGGCATAACATAGCTACAGGTTTCAAGGTGGCTCCTGTGGCATTCCCCTTGCTAGCCCTGCACCAAGGTGCTGCAGGACATGCGCCTGCAGCATGGAGTCACTCCTGCCCCACTCCTCTCTCGGCTTGTTCTCCACAGGTCTGGATGGATGCAGCCACACAGATCTTCTTCTCTTATGGCCTGGGGTTGGGGTCTTTGATCGCTCTGGGGAGCTACAACACTTTCCACAACAACGTCTACAGGTCTGTTGTTTCTTACCAGCCTCCTGCATGGCTCATGGGTGAGGCAGGGGGACATGGGGATTTTGGGGTGCCTGATCGCCAACATTCCCTCGTTGGCAACATGCAGCTTAAGGGGCACACTGTAATCACCGCAGTGGGGCTTCCCTGCCTGCAGGACATGTAAGGTGTCACCCATGCTACCTCTCCAAGGCACAGGAACTGCTCTTGGCAGGGCTTGGTCTTTTGTTTAGTCCACCCTTCCCTCCTGGCTTCTTGATAGGGACCTGCAGGTGGTTTCTTTCCATTCTTTCTCTCTTCCAGAGACTCCATCATTGTCTGCTGTATAAACTCCACCACAAGCGTGTTTGCTGGGTTTGTTATTTTCTCCATTGTTGGCTTCATGTCACACATCACAAAGAAGTCAATCTCAGAACTAGCCTCCTCTGGTAAGCAAAAACCTGGGTTCAGATGTAACAGCAACCTCTGAGAGCAATTTGTTAGTGAACATGGTATGCTCCTAAGCTCCGGACCCCAAGTGTGCAACCGTCTTGGCATCCCCTCCCTCCAAGAAAGTTCTCAGGTACCTGTGGATGATGTTCACCACACTCTGGCTGCAGGAAATATCACCTGCTTCTAATTATCTCCTCCTTTCAGTGCTGAAGTTTCATCCGCTTTTGCTGCAGTGAAATATTTAGGCCATTTGCTTTCTAAATCCTCCCTATGGAGAACAGCTACTGCCTATGTTTTCAGTAGATGTAATCAACATTTGGAATTCCTTTTCCATGCAAAATTTTGAAACTGTAATCACAGAATAATTTCTTACCCGAGATGGGACACTGTCTTTTTGCAGAAAAACATATTTTGAAATCACTGCCTTACCTGAGAAAGCTTTTATCTCAAGAAACTGTGCTTTGTGATGGAAAAAACAAAACCATCAGGGAAGTTATAACAAGCTCTGAATATCAGTTTATTTTGTAGCATAGTGTTCCAGCTCAATTTGGTAGCAATGATTTGATGACTTGCTTGCTTGCAGGAAAGGAAAAGGCAAAGCATTTCTTCAGTGCCTCCCCATTCTACCCCTGTGCACCCCACTGAGTTGACGGGTGAAGGCTCTGGTGTTTCTAACTCCTATATTAAATACCTGCAATTCTTGACTGATCATACTCTCTCTGTTCAACTGCATCCCTTAGATCAGACTTCCCATCAAATGCTTTATAAACATGGGCTTATCCCTCTTTTCATTACTGCAGGCCCTGGACTGGCTTTCCTCGCCTACCCACAGGTTGTCACACAGCTGCCCCTGTCCCCTCTCTGGTCTATCCTCTTCTTCTCCATGCTGATGATGTTGGGTCTGGATAGTCAGGTGAGACTGCACAGGGACAAAGTGGGGTAACATGCAAAGATATCTTCACATATGATGATGGTGTCCCATTTGCATCCTGAGACAGTGCAGAGCAGGGTCTTTTCTTACTCTTCATGGTGAGATGCAGCTGCATGAAACAAATCCTCCTGTGTGGTCATCACCTCTGTGCTTGTCCCTAATGTAGACATATACTGCAAGTGTGGTGGTATCTCACCTCTACTCAATGAACCAGTCCTTTTCGTGCTGCTGATTAAAAATAAGAGTAATGACCAGCTTTGAGCAGCCCAGCAGAACCAGCCTTATAAGACAGTCACCACTTCCTTAGGAGGGGAGAATCTTTGGAAAGCTTATCTCCATTCAGATCAATTTTTGACCCCAGTGAAGTGCCAGCACTACTGTATGGGCATAGCATGTCCCCATCTTGCTGGGTGACTCTGGCAGCTGAGCTGAAAGGCTCTAAGTGAGGCTAGCAGGAAACTATTCATGCCAAAATATTTTGGAGCAAAGAAAAAAAGGAAAAAGATTTATCTCAAGTGATAACTGCTTTGTTCTTGTAAGGCACAGTTTCCTCCATCCCCTAATGGAGAATGAGGCAAGAAAATACATTATTTTGGCTTACTTCTATAGACTAGGTAGAAAGTCTCCATCTTCTTGCTCTCAGGAGCTGGAAGAAGCATGTCCACACAAGGTACTAGCCTCCAACCAGACCCAGTGCTCTGGCACAATGTTGAGAACGGCAGTGTTGCAGTGTTTGAATCGGGCTCCCCCATGGTGTGAGGGTGGTGGTTTGATGCTGTGTTTTGGCATTATTGACAATAAAAGTGTCCCTGAGCAGAGCTGAAGCACCCTGGCCTGGTTTGTAGGTGAGCAGGGGTAGGTCCTGGCAGAAGGAAGGAGCCATGCTTTGGGAAAGGCTGGGTACCCTGACTGCTTTGCCATCAGGTAGGCCTGACGAGATATTTGAGGGTGAAGCAGCTGGATGTAACAAAAGGTCTCCTGCCCCCCTCATGCCCTCACAAAACAAAAGAAATCACAGTCTCTTTGTTTTTACAGACAGTGATAATTTTTTTTTCTGATAATTCAGCATAAAAGTAGCTACCCAGTGAAGCAGTGAATTGCAGCATGGCTCCCTTTTGAGTGCATCAAAACCAAAGCGTCCTTCAAAAGCCTATGCTTCGTCTGTCACATCCTCCCCTGTGCTGGCATGCTCTTCCCTTTCATTGCAAACCGCTGGTACAAAATGGCTGCTCTCTTGGATAACAGGTAGTGCTCATAAAGCCAAGACTACTTTCTAATGAGACTCAGACCTTTTCCTGAAATGTCACATTTGCTTTCCAGGAAAATCTAATCAACCAAATCTGGATTTCAGTTATGGCACACTCCTATAAACACACCATAAAGCTCACCTCTGCATTACCACAGACATTCTTTGGCAAATAATTTCAAATATAAGTAAACGATTCAAAAGAAGCTACATTTACAGAAAAAAAAATAGTACTCTCGGTGGATTATTCACTCAGCCCTGGTAAATAGTCTGAGACATGACAATAAGCCCTCTAAGCACTGTGTGGAATTCGTTTGCTGCATTTGCTTCTGAAATAGCAGTTGAAATTCTCTAGGTCCCTTCTGACTGCCAGTCTCGGAGGGCAAGCTGTCCATGGGGGATATCACTGCCCAGAGAAGGAGGAGGGACAGGGAGGGAACAAAGCATCAAAAGGAAAGCAGGCTTTTAGAAAAGCACAGATAAATACATTTGAAGAAGCTTTCTGTCTGCATGCTGGAGCTCTGATTCAATAAAACACACCATTAACAGCATGGCAGCTTATGTGTGTAAAACAAATAGCCCAGGCTGCAACAACAGCTACAATTACACATGTGTTTTGAGGCATCTAGTTTGAAACCAAAAGAGATGTTTTTGCTATGTGCTGATTAAATATCATTTACAGATGGGGAGCAGCCATTTTTCATTTGGGTCAGCATCCCAGCTCATGAGGCATGGCAGGGCCATAGGGCATTTCTTGCACCCTGCATCCCCAAGGCTGATGGGCAGGGCTGTCCCTTGTCACTATCTCTACAGCAGAGATGCTTGGAAGACAGAATAGCAAAGGAAGATAGGGTTGAGATCTGCATTTGCAATGCAGGGACAAGGCCCAACCCCTTAAGTATGGTGGGAGTAGGTTCACGTATGCCCATTAGTTTTGATAGCAAGCTTTCTGCAGATGTAGCACAACTACCTCTGCCTCATCGCATCTGCAGTTGCTTGAATGGGATGAATGACCTATATCGATAGATATGCACCTCCCTCCTGTGCCCCCACTTGCCTCTCATGTGCCTTAATGCTCACTCTGCGTCTGATCCACCCGGACTTTAGCTCTCTTGCGTCTAGACCCTCTTGCATAACATGCTAATGCTTTCTTTTAACCTACCAGTTTCCAGGTCAGGCGTTTTGTCCCCAGGGGATCTAGCAAGCCTTGTGACTGCAAGCCTGCGTCTGTCCCATGTGAGGCCGTCTCTCACAGGTTATTCAAGAGAATTTCCAGCTGCCAGCAGCAAGACCCCCACTCATGGCTCTCTGCTGCACATTTGCTAGCTGTGGTTGAACCCCCTTATGGGTGCAGACAGGGTGTTATTCGTGGCCCCCAATACTGGAAGAGGTTGGGAGAGAGACTTCCCTTCAGACCAAGATGGCATTTATATTGACTCCCAAGCCCACGTTATCAGACACAGCAGCTTGTGTAACGACTAATCCCCTAGAGGGGGAAAAGAGCAAAAGAGGCTCTGAATGGGAATAAAATATTTAGTAGAGAAACGGTATCATGGGGCGAGGCATGAGGAAGAACAGAATATGTGCTAAATATATTAGCCACATATGCTAAATAAGTGGCTGGAGATGGTGAGAAAAACAAAACTTTCTGGAAAGTAGATTGAAGGCGCCTACTTAATCTCATGCAAGCACCTAAGGATGGTTATGCAGGTTGGGAAAGATGGACCCCAAGGCTCCCAGGCCACAGTCCCCAGGGCTGGATATAGGAGCTTCCTCCAGGCTGCATCACCTCTGAAGCTTGAGGCTAGCATGAGGCAATTTTCAGTAACAGTACAAAGCCATTGCGTGCTTTATGGCTAGAAGCAGTAGTGTGCCATCATTTGGTTCCCCACCTCATCCATTACATAGCAGCTTAATTTTGGTAGGAGGAAAAGAGTCTTCAACTCACTTTGTAACCCTTTTGCTCATCATCCATCTCCCTCTCATTCCTTCTGTGCTTTCCCTGCCTTTGATCCCTCTTCTGCACCAAAGGGCTGTCAGTTTTAATCCCTCCTGCTATCTGAGGCACCTTTTTCTTTTCTTCTCTTCTGGACACCACTCACACCCACCCTCTGCCCCTGACAACCCCTGGCCGCACGATGAACCCTTTTCCCTCTCTGCCTTGCCTGGTGCCGCATGGCTCCAGCGGTGCCTGGCCATGCATCCATGTGGAAGGAATAGCTTCCAACAGTGTCTTTTTTTGTCACTCTGGCTCTTCACACTGTGGTGGCAGCTCAGTCCTGAGTCTTCCAGACAGCGACCCAGGTAGGATGGGCTGAGGAGCTTGCTGTCAATGACTTTAAAAGCAGCTTAACCCATGCCCAAATCACAAAAGATGCTTTAATAGCGCTTGTGTCCATGACATAAAAGGTTTAGCTCATTAAAAACTTGAGTTGAAGCCGTTGAGCTTTGACTCTCTGGGGATATAAAGCCGTGGGCAGAAACATCTGCCTTTGCTTTGCCCTGTTCCAAGTGGAAGCCAGCCCCAGCAGCCAGCGTGCTCCTCCACCATCTATGACCAGCTATAGGCATGTCTCAGACTCCCCACTTTCCTCCCTTATATCTTTGTAGCCCTCTGCTCCTCTTTTCAGTCTGTGAACCTCTACCTCCACCTCCACTCTAGGTTTTTTTCTTCTAGTCTCCCTACTTAAAGCTGAATTTAAAATGCCAGCACATTTTAGAGTGCTGTCACAGGGACAGGGATGTCCCTGACATCAAAGAGCAATGACACCTCTTTCATTTTCATTGCGCTGGCTTGTACCTTTACTAAGGCTGACCAAGGAAGCCAGGAGCCTGTTGCCCTCATAAACCTCGCAAGATTTTTGCTAGAGGCAGAATGTGCTCGCTGAGAGCTGTATGTTGCCAGTTTCCTGGGAGTGAGATATAAAAGTGAATCTCACAATTCATCAAGAAGTAGGAGGGAAGGATGCACTTCACATATATACGTGCCATAGGGCAGAACTAGTAGGAAAACTAATTTGAAGGTTATGCTCATGGGGATGTCTTTATGTGTTATGGTGCAGACAGTGTTAATATACTGTGCCTGGTATAGCACTGCACAAGCTATGCAGGTGTTTTTAGCTCTAGAAAGACCATGTGCTGTGAGGATGGGCTTTTAATGTGCTACATGCATTTAATGTAGTGTGCTTGAAAAAAGTGATATGAAGGGCTGTGTATTATTAAGGACTATTATGATGCACATGCATGTGAGACTGGGCCGTGGGTAATGCAGCTCCTTAATGATTTTAGATCATTGAACAGCACAAGCGCTGTTGCAATAGGCTGAGAAGAGTACACATGGAAAAGGAAGAGCAAGCAAGGTCCTGCACGTGTCCCAGCAGCTGTGACAGAGAGCCTGGCAGCATGCAGGAGCAAGGCAGTGGCAGGGAGGCCCTAGAGGGTTCAGGGAAAGAAAGGAGAGGCTTTTTCCGTGGGAGCAAAAAGGCAGAGATTTATCTCAGCTAATTATAGGTATTTAACCACAGTGCTTATAGCTCCCTCTGTATTCAGTGGAGGGAGAGAAGCATTTTCAGAAGATGGTTCAGACCAACTTTGTGCAGAGATGCATCCTTTTCTTCTAGTGTTTGTAGGGAGCTCTTAAAGCAATGCTGGTTCACAATGCTGGCGTTAAATGTAGGTGAGAGTGATGTCCAGCTAAGATATTTATATATTTATGTCCTTGGTGTATACTTTTTCCCATAGTTCTGCACTGTGGAAGGGTTCATTACAGCCCTGATGGATGAGTATCCTCATCTCCTGAGAGCCAGGAAGAAGGTCTTCATTGCAGTAGTCTGTTTCATCTCTTATCTCATTGGATTCTCCAACATCACCCAGGTACAGCTAGCCATGCTCATACTTCCACTCTTGGCACATTTCTAGTCACTTTGGCATAGCACAGCAACACCAAAAGCTTTGGGAGAAGTGACAGCATCCTAGGAGCCATCCTAATGCTGTAGAAATGGGCTTGCTCAACATTAATACATCTCAGGCGTCTTAAGACAGTTCTGTAATTTTTGCCACCATCATGTCAGTCTGGCTTGGTTTTTTTTTCTATTTACAATAGCAGCTTAAGGCAGAAGAGCCCAAGCTGAGGTAAGATAACATAAAGAAGACGAGTCTGTTGAGGCCCTGAGCCTCTGGGGCTGAAGCTAAAATTCACGTGTGGAGGTTAGGGCTGAGTGGTCTGGAGACCCTTTGTGAAGCAGTGTAGGTTCATGATGAGGCCAAGCTTCAGTAAAACTCCTGGGAGGGCAGAGCACACTAAATTAAGTTAATCCATCTAAACCAGAGAAAAGTAAGACATCCTAGTGAATCTCTGCTTTTCTCCTAACCTTTGGCCATGCCTGAAAAAGACAGCTAATTGTCTGCAAGAGCACATCAGTTTTGCTGCTGGGAACCACGCTGCAGTGGAAACATTGCAACACTACCTCTACTGTCCAAGGAAATTAGCATTAAAGCCAGCAGATGCAGACAGTGGCAATCCAAGCAGTTAGCTGATATTGTCATCCATAATCTATAACTAAACTCATTGACCCTGGTTTTGTTTTCTCAGGGTGGCATTTATGTCTTCAAGCTGTTTGATTACTACTCTGCTAGTGGCATGTGTCTTCTCTTTCTTGTCTTCTTTGAGACCATCTCAATTTCTTGGTGTTATGGTAAGCACAAAAGACATTGTTCCTTTGTTTTCTCCATGGACATGGTGAGTTATTTCAGAAGTCTCCCACAGCCAAGTCAATGAAAACTTTGCAACTGAAAATAGCTTAGGTTGATAACCCGAGCAAATCAGGATCAGAAGACTGTCATCTCACTTCACCACCACAAAGACCTCTGCGCACACTGGCAGATGCCTAGGATCCTGCCCTCTGGTCCTTCAAGAGGACACCAGGAACATGGAAGCTGCTAGCACGAATTTGCTTTTATGTCTCTGTACCCCATCCCCTCCAGATAATGCTTCTCACGCCACAGCAGTGTCACCCTCTTGCTGTGGCTAGCCTGCGCTGTGTTATGAGAAGAGGTGATGACCATGGTGCTGAGAGGGGATGTTTTTTCAACACTCATTTCTTCCTGTAGGTGTGAACAGGTTTTACAGGAACATTGAAGAAATGATTGGCTACAAACCTTGCATGTGGTGGAAGATCTGCTGGGCCTTCTTCACTCCTCTTGTCTGCCTGGTAAGACCTGGGACAGCCTGTCTGCAGGAGTGGATCCAGAAGGGCCTTTTAGTTTGGATGGAGTGTAGGGGAAACACTGTTCTCAACCCAGTATAGGTGTGGTGCAAGGTGGTCCTGGGCAGACTTGAGATGGGTGAAGTAATACCCATCTCCAATAAAAGGAGCCTCTTTCACTCTGCCTGCTGGAAATCACCCATATGAAATGCTCTAGGTGATTTCTTTAACCTAAATAAGGCCATCAGTTCTTCATTTTTCTTTCTGAGATGCCAAAAAATAAGCAAATATTTTGCTGTTTTAAAAAAGCTATTATTGATTCTCAGCTACTCCAGCTCCTGCCTCAGCCACTGATGGACTTGTCAGAGCAAAAGTTAGCAGCAAATGCAGTATAACTGACTGCAGAGCAGTTCTACCTTTGCTGGTTCCTGCGTTTTCGACACAAGTAGTCCAGAGAATGGTGTGAGAAGGCCAATTATAGGAAGATGGAGGTTCCTGAGACCAGCTGTGAGGATCCTGTTAATGTGCTTAGGAGCTGGTGTGAGAGCACAACTAGTCCAAGTGGTTTAGTGAGGAAGGAAATCAGGGATATTCCAGCTCCAGCTTTTTACGTAGGACGATAAGAAATTATATGAAATTACCAGTTGGTGGGCTGAGGCCATCTAGACTAGATTGAGGAGCTGTTGGATTGCTGTGAGACTGTTGGGAACTAAGAGGACAGTGAAGGGAAGAGTGGGTGGATGGACCCCAATTTTGCACGCCTTCACCTGCAATGGTGGTGCTCTTTTCCCAGGGCGTGTTCTTCTTCAGTGTGGTGGAAATGACCCCTCTGACACTGGGAAAATATGTCTATCCCGTGTGGGGACAAGGCATTGGCTGGCTTATGGCTCTGTCCTCCATGATACTGATTCCAGGATACATGCTGTACTGTTTCTTCACCTCAACAGGGACCCTCCGGCAGGTATGAGCAGCTTCATCACTCCTCTTCTACTCTTTGCTTACAGTAATCCCCCCACTGAACTAAGCTTAAAGAAAACCAAGCAGACTCTGCTCTGACAAAGCTGTCAGAGTGCTTCAGGTTGATGCTGCAGGAGCTTTGCACACCCTCTCCTCCAGGACTCACATCAGCCCCAGTGCATAGAATGGCTTCCAGCAACATCGGCTGGAAGGGGACTTACTAGCACTACTGAGCACTAACTAATATCTAAATGGCTGGGAGCACTGCTGAGCAGCATGTCATTACTATGTCTGGCCAAGTGTGTAGACCTTCAGGTAGTCTATCCTTAGGTCCATTGTGCCTCATTGAGCTTTGTATTGCCACCATCACAAAAAGGAAGTCCTCCTCTGCTGAGTATATCTCTTTGATGCAGGGGACTGGAGCCCTGGAAGGGACTGGGAAAATGCTTGAGGTTTCTTAATCCAGGGGAATCCCAGTTTCTGGCAATCCCTGGCTATGAGCATGGTTACTTGGCACTTCCCATTGGAGAGATCAGCATCCCCAGAACATGAGGGCTTGAAGTATTTCAGAGCTAGGACCTGCTAGGGACGGAGACCTGCATGGTGGTAGTTTGCCATGCGCTTTGATAGGGGCACTCAGTGAATGATGGTTAAGAAGCAAGGAAGACTTTCATGTAGGACACACAATACTAGCAACTCCGATCCTGTTTAAAACATTTTCTTAGATAATTTGAGCAGGGTTTTATGTAGCAGTGAATCATGAGTCTCTGTGTGTCAGACCTAGTAATTACTGGTGAGATCTTATTTACAGTGTTGACATTCAGTCTTGAGAGCACTGTGCACAAAGTCCCTGGCTTGGTGTTGTCTGCTGCAAGCTGTAGGAATAAGAAGTCACTGCAGGGGTGCTGATTTATGCCTTTCCCAGCCCAGCTGCAGTAGCAAGCAGATGCCATGTAAATCCCATGGGTCTGCTTCATGGATACTGTATTTTGAATAATGCGCAAGTCAGAAACGTTTTAGCTGGATTTGCTGAGCTGAGATCAGCGTCAAGCTGCCTGCCTCTGAGGTCAAGTTGTAGGTGGATTTAACTTTCCCTCCTCCAGCTCTCCATTTGGATGGGCTCTGATGTAGGAGCTGGTGTCTCTGATCTGCTTCCAGTTTCTGGTCTCTCATCTGATGCTGAGTTTAGGTTCTTGCCATTAGGGTTGAGATCTGCACTGGTGCTCCTGCAGGCTCAAGCCAAAGTGTTATGTCAAGTCACTTTGGTGATATTGGGTTGAAGGCCAGCAGCAATTCCAATAGTAGGTCATTGCCCATGGCAGGGGGGTTGGAACTAGATGATATTAAGGTTCTTTCCAACCCAAACCATTCTATGAGTCTATGATTCTATGATTCACGCAAACCACCTGTACCAGTCAGCAGCGTGAGTGACTGGTGTGCACCCTCTCTCTAACAGCACCGTACGAATCAGGAGACCCAGACCTCCTTCCCATTCTCCATAGACCCAGGAGTGAGCAGCTGATGGCAGCAGTAAGAAAGTAGGAGCTTCTGTATGTGTGTGTGTTGGTGTCACAGAGACAATTTTTGGCCTGTTATATGCACAGATCCTGGATTAGTTTGTAATAGAGCTAGAGCTGGAGGGAAATTAGATGTCAATGCTGAATAAAGTGGTTTTGACAGACAGGAAAGATTACAAGTCGTTTTGATCCTGCTGAGCATGAATGTGTGTGTGTGGAGGAGGGGAAGACCATGAATGGCAGAAGAGGCTCAGTGAACATCTCAGGGACTTCACCCAGCAACAGCCACTTCAGTGGTATTGAACAGTAGAAGGTTGTTTCCCTTTGCTGGAAGGAGCTTTTCCTGACTTGGTGATGTATATTCAGGTCAGGCTCAATCTTCCTCTGCCTTCTCTTCTGCAGTTTTCAGCATCAGTCTCTCCCTGACAGGCAAAAGTGATCCATCCTTCTTCATCACTCCTGATGCTCAGTCCACATCTCCAGTAATTACTTGCCCTTCCATGTTTTCCTACATTCTTGCTTCAGTTTACTTGGCTCTGCAATTTTCATTCGATCAGCTCAGGGTGACAGGAACTGCTGCTAGTGCAAAGGTTTGTGCAGGAGGACTGGTCTCATCTGCATCAGTGGCACAGAGTAACCTTGCTAGCCTGCTGTGGATACTTAGTTCTGCTTTATAATCAACACTAGCTAAAAAATTACAGAAACTGGGAAAGAGGGTCTGCTCAGGAGCCTGTGACATTGCAGCTTTCTCTTGCTCCTACTTGCAGCTGGTAGTGCCTGGTAACAGTTTGCCTGTGTTACAAGTACTGCCTGTAATTCAGATAAACAGAGGAGCGGCTGTACTGTGTGCAACACCAAAGCAAAGGTGACTTGCAGAAGCTTTCATTGGGTTACTGAATGGTGCTGGAGGAGTAACTCCTGCCACATGCACTGTCTCCTCGCCCCCTAAGTAGGGCCACCTCTGAGGCTTGGGGTTAGGGATCCCAATGCTCAGCTGCTGCCATGCCCTGGCTGTCCCACCACTGCTCCGGTCCCCTTGGCTAACACACTCTCTCCATTCCCGGGCAGCGCTTGCAGCAGATGACACAGCCCAGGCCAGATGTGCATGCTCAGAACAACGGCCTCCAGCCAAAGACGTCTTTGAATGGGAGGATCTCGGATGCTGCTGTTTAGGAGAGCCCGGACCTCCTCACCCTGCCCTGTAGCTGCTCACGCCACGTTGTCCCTCCAGCTCCTCCGGCACAGCTCGCTGTCCCTGGCTCTGCAGTGGCTTTTGCTTCTCCAAGAGAGGACCTGGCAGAGGAACCCTCTTGCTCCTCTTCCTTCCAGCCCGGCTTACCAAGGCCCTGCAGGACTGCCACCAGCAACCACCTCCTGCAGCATCCTGGTCCAGGCTCTCACAGAGAAATGGCTGGTTCCAAGGTCTTCTTCCTCCTGACAAGGAGAGCTTAGACTGATTGTTGACCACTTGTAAACCTTTCCTTTGCCTTTCCTCATGAACCTTCACAGAGCATCCCATAGCACACAGCTGTGCTGTCACCCCCAAGAGCCAGGTGACACCAGGTTCAAATCCCAGATGGTTAGTGATTGATCTAGCATAAACCAGCACTAGCCAGCGCATAACTGGAGGGGATGTGGCCCAATGAGGGATTCCAGTGAGGAGTCCAGCATGCTGGTAGCTGTAGAACTTCACCCCACAAGTGGAGAAGGGCATCAGGACAGTGTGTGCTGCTCATAGGTGCTGTGTTTCACCCCTGCGTGGTCTCCAGACATTTCACTGCATCCATTGGGGCTGGTACTGTGAGCCAGAGCCTAGCAGTTTAGGCAACCTTTTCCTTCTGGAGCATCCTGCCCCTTCAGTTGTGTGCAGCAGCCACTCTGTGACCCTAAAATACAGTTAAAAGGGTGCGTGGAGGGCTTTTAGCTAGAAGCTCTCCAAGTCTCGTACACTGACCACTGTCTGCTGCAACCAGCTGTGTGCAGCGGCAAGAGGTGTGCTGTGCGATGGGGTGACTTTCCATCACAGTGCAAATCTCCTCCAACTGGAACAGGTTAGTTCCTGCCAAACACCCTCCCTGGCTGTGTCCCAGGGTGGTAAGCAGTAAGATGCAGCATAGTGTCCATGGGTGGTTTAGGTTATACCTCTTTGGGAAGTGGCAACACCTAAGTCCCAGCTGGTGGAATGCAGCAGCTCCTGGGGGAGCTGGTAGGATGTAGCCACCATGTTTGCATCCACTTCTATGAACCAGTGCTGGCTGGCTTTGGGAAGTGTCTGTACAGACAGCTGCTGATACTGGCACATCCCACCTCCCAAGACAAACATCACAGGGGCCGGGAGCTGTTGTAGATGGTGCTGGAGGAGTGTATAACAGCTCAGAGAAGGCTGGGAAGTATTTCAGAGCAGCAGCATATTTCTTGTTTATAAGGCCTTGAGAAAGGAGGTGACTCATCATAGCACCATGTGCAGGTGTGACAGTGATGCTCCCGTTTGCGACAGCCTCCCAATGACCCCGTGCAGAGATACCCATGTATTCAGAGCATTTGATGAGCTCCTGTCATGCCTAAGCACACATGGTGTGACTTAGTGCAAATTAGCCTTTCCTCTCCCTTGGCACCCTGACAGCATTGCCAGGTCTGCTCACACTTCCAGGTTCAGCTCAGGATCAACATTCATAAATGAGTGCCCTAGAAAACATGTCCCACTCATGCTTCCTACCAAAGGGTCTGCTCTTGTAGGGGACATGCTGAAGTGCCCCAGGATCCCACTACAGAGGCTAGCTGAGGGAAGGATGAACCCCTGTGCAACTGCCCTGCACTCCCATAGGTACTGAAAAATGATGCAGGATGGCTGTGTGCTGTCTGTCCCTGCCTGCGGCCAACCTGCTCTTCCACTAGTGTTCCAGCCTGAGGATCAGTAATGTAAAGAGGAAAAAAGCTGTCTCGTTAAAGCTGAAATCAGTGACCTTTGTGGTTGGGTCCCCTGCCAGTTTGCCAATGCATCACGATTAACCCTGCTTTAGGTGTGTAACCAGTTTGTATTTGTACTCTGGCTCTTAGTGGTTGTGGATGCCAGGGCCTGTCCGGCATCTGATCGTTAGGGTGTTTGCATCAAAAACAATCACAGGTGTTACACAGGCACAAGGAAACACCAAATTTACAGGTTTGATCTTGTAAAGCCAAAAGCGAAACACTGAAAGCTGCAGTCATAGTTCATCACAACTAATCTCAGCCAGTCACAGATATGTCATCTTTCCTTGTCCCATCGTTGCCAACACTAGTACAGCTGAAATTTTCTATCCCACTTTCACCTATTTTTATGAACTAGGAGACAAAGTAAACCACTCTTTATGCACATGTACGTCCTTTGAGAGAGGCATCTGTGTTGAAAATGGATGTTAACATCTGATCTCTGTAGTGATGACCTTTAGTAGAAGCCTACTTTTGCCTCTGCATCCAGGTCACATAACCTCCCTCCCTTTAAATGCAGACTGAGACTTTTGCAGGTGGGTGGTGGGCAAAGGATTCTTGAGCCAATTCTTGAGCAAGGCCTTAAACCCATGGAATACCCAGATTTTTCCAACTTCGTTTGGGCAGCTCAGGTGTCAGGTGAAGCCCATCTGTGTCAGTAGTCATTTCTGAAACTCTCATCTGAAGGGCTCAGTTGCTGGGAGAGCTGTTCAAAAGGGCTGTGCTATCCAGATTGTTCCTCCAGGGGAGTGGAGAAGGAAGGGTCCAGAAGGCAAAGTCCCTTCCCTGGTAGCAGAGGTAATTCCTAAATCTCCAATTTGCTGTGCTGTGATTTTAGTCCCAGCATCTCTCTGACTTGAGGCTTGTCTGTGGCGGGTGCAGAGCATCACTCCAGGTGTAGCAGAATGGGCTAGCCTGCAATCAGGCTGCTTATAATAACAATATTTTATGAGATTTAACCATTTGCTCAGTTTCCTGCCTGTGACCTTCTCTTTTGAGCTCCCTCCTGCCCTGCTCCTTTTCATTCTCCTACCTCACTAGCTCCTCTGTCATCCACCCAGTGGAAATGATCTAACTCAGCTTGCTTCTTCCTGCTTTGTCTCCACCATTGTCACATACAGCTCTCCCTCCTTTCTCTTCTGCTTTCTATTATTTCCTCATTTCTACCTCTATTATTACCAGCCCCACTTCCCTGCTTCTCTCATGTGTTCTTCTTGAGCCTTATTCCTTTGTGCCTATGGCTCGGCTTCTCGCTGTGTGCACGCTCAACCCTTCTGCCTGCTAAAAGCCTGGAGCTTAGGACCCCATGGAGGAGCTCAGCTTTTTGCAGGATCCAGTCCCTAAGAACCAATTTCCATCATTTCCATCCCAATATCAAAATTATAATGGCATTCCAGCTATCTTCTTTACCTCTTTGCACCAGAAAGCACTGTGCCAAGTGGTGTTATCGCTTTATACATTTGAATCCATATTCCACCAGTCTCTGCAGAGCTGTACCTGTTCTGAATGGTTTTGTGGTCTTTCCTGGTTTTGCAGCATTTAAGTTTCCACCATGAATGTTTGGATCTGCAAATTCCAACATTCATAGCCTTGCAGGGAGGAATTTGCCCTTAGTTAAGCTCTGTCTGATTGATCCCCTTATCCAGCATTTCAAATTGATCCCATCCTTACTGCTAGAGCAGCCTTCCCACTTCCATCGTGTGCAGGCTTTCCATCTAAGTGAGAAGACAGGAATGCAGATGGCTCCTCGAGCTCATCCCACACTTCAGAAGTACCACTATGGGCAGGTCCAGCAAAGCTGCCATATCTGCACGTTGACTTTTTGACGTCAGGCTTTGGATACCAGCCCCAAGGTACGTGCCATGCTTGTGCCAGTGGAAGAACCATTTCAATGCTGTTCCCACCATGCGTCCCTTCTGCTGATGGCCACTCTGCTCCTCATTCCTTTTGGCTCGCCCAGCAGAGAGGATGGATACATGCACGGCCAGAGGGTGGGATGCTGCTCTCTTCCCCTTGCTGTGATTCAGAAGGGGACACCACTGCCCTGTGCTCACCTACAGCGCTCCTGCCTGTTCTCCAACCTCTCGCCTCCCCCAGCACACGCCAGCCTCATCCTCCCACTGCAGGCAGCCTCTTGAAATAATCCCCTGTGAAAACTCTTAATTCTAAGGAGCTATTTAGGGAACTGCTTAAACCCCTCTGAAATCCTCTTTTTCTTGATGGCTGTGAAAACTAAAACGAATGCCATTGCCCCCACCCTCTGCTGCAGCAGCGGGGGCCAAGGGTGCAATAGGAAAAGCAGTATTGTTCCATTGCTGCTCAAGCATCACTTCACCCCTGGAGATATGAGTGCGAGCCTCTCCCCTAGGAGAGGGGAGCTCATTCTGCTGCCATTCTCCCAGATGTGCTTCAGCATCTGGCAGCTGGTTGTGAAACACATGCACGACGTCCACCACATGATACCAATGCCATGTGGCACTGTAAGGCTTCAGCTAGCTGACCGCTGCATAGCTTGTAGTCTCTCCACAACTCTATTAAATGATGTGTTGGGCACAGATGCGCTGTGCGTTGAGGGGTTGCCCTTAAAGCTGGCGTCATTCTGAATAAGCAACTTTTCATTATTCCTCTCCTGTCCTGGTGGGATTCTCTCTGTATTGGGGGACCCTGGTTGCATCTGGTGGTGATGGTCAAATGGGGATGGGGTCTGTGCCACTGAGGGACATTTCCACTGTGTTTTTGCTTGTACTGAGGGCTACGCGCTCTCACTAAGCACCAAGGACACTGCCTGCTTTCCTCAGGAGCTGAGCACATGAAACACAGTGTTTAACACTGGATGCCAACACTGGACCTGGAAGCCATGCAGTGTGCCCATACAGTCTGGTTTTCCTCTCCTGATGTCTGATCCTGTCTCTGTACAACTCCAGGTATTGTTCAGAGTCCACCTGAGCAGCTTAGGGGTAGGAAGAAAAAGCCTAGAAGCTCTGAAACCTACTGATGACATCTGGCAGCTAGCCTTTAAAACATGAGTGCCAGAACCATCCTGATCACTGCACCCCTCAAAGCCCTTGGAAAGGCAAGAGAAGAGATGTCAAGGGAGGGTTGAAAGATGGGGGATCCCATGGGGACTGGCTACCGTCTCCCCTTCCCCAGTCTTGACCATCACAACATCCCTGGGGTCAGGTACCTGTCACTTCTTCCTCCCTTCTCTGCTTTGCATCCTCTTGTTCGCCTGTCTCCCCTTTACTCTTTGGGGAGAGGCTTGCCGGTCCATGCCAGCCTTTTTCTCAGTTCTGCTTGACACCAGTGACCTGTCAACCCTGACTCACTGAACAGATGAGGCAGGCAGTCTGGCAGTGAGTGGAGGGGCAGGTTTTGCAGAGGCTGGGGTGCTGACCCTTCCTGCTCATTCAGTCATTCCTGTGCTGGGTCCATGCCTCCTTCCTTCCCTGGAGCTTCCTACTGTCTGTGCTAACAGCACTTCTGCCTGCTGTGGGAATTCAGTGCTGTTTCACTGACATTTAACACGGGTGTCAGATGCTTTCCTCCCCTCTAAGGACAGCCATCCATAGCCTCAATGGAGAGGAACAAGGGCGCTGTGAAAGCAAAAGCTGTACACTCCAAGCATTTTAACAACATTCCTCCAAGTTCTGCATCTTTAATAGTATGTTGAAGTGATGCTTGTGGTAAGAAGTCTATGCATGAACCAGACCTGCTCAGAGCTGCGTGGAGGCAGTACATTACCATCCTGGCCCTCAGGGCTTGTTCATCCCAATAGGAGCTGGGGGCTGCTGTCCCTCCCTGAAGCACATCAGGTGCCCTATCCAGCATAAGGTCCCTGTGTGTCCCCTCCTGTGGCACATGTAGGGAGGGCTGCCTGGTGGATATGTGATGTTTTCCCTGGCTCTAGTGCTTGCCCTGGCCCATCCCAAGGGTCTTGGACCTATGTGCAACTGTTAACAACTGGATAAAGGGGTTTGAGCTGCAGGGCCATGCCCATGTGGGAGCTCCAGGTGATGACCCTGGGGCAGACACCCAGGGGGTGCCAGGGGATGGGTTGGTATCCCAGTGTCCTCATCGCAGTGCTGGCTGAGGCAGCACTGCCAAGGGCTGCGTGGGGCTCTTGCCAAGCACATGTCTATCATAGTTGGGATGCTGTCAACTGGGAAATGTCTGTATCTGGAAATGCTCAGGAGAGGTTAGTGCTCCCTGCACTGATACCTGACAGCCGTGACACTGATGGAGATGCCAAACAACAGCCTGGCATCATGCTGCTGCACTGCCAAGAAAGTGGCACCAGCCTTCACTGGGGCACCAGGGACCAGCCATGTTCCCTCGTGAGGTGGCATGTGTCCCCACCACAGCCCCAGAGAACCAGCAGCTCTGCCCCCCCATGGCAGAGTGCCAATGGAAGGGCTCATCCTGGCCATACTCATGCACCACAGGAGCTTTTCTCCAAGGGACACTGTGAGGTCCAGGTGTTTCTCCTTCCAGATGAGGAAACCCAACCCAGTGGCTGGTGTAATGATACCAGGGGGGCACCAGCCTCACAGGGCCCTATAGCCAGAGGGGCAGGCAACCTGTTCAGGGAGCACTCCCGGACGCTGCATCTCCCCACAAGCTCGGGGACCACTGACAGAGCCGGACATGGCTGCCTGGCTGGATGCTTTCCTCCCTTTGAAGGCTGTGTGGGTCGAGAAGGCTTCTGGCTCATTTGCGTTGCATCACGCTGTCTGGGAAAACACAAATACCCCTGCCATGACCCCATGAAGAAAAGCACTTTTGCATTTTGTGCTGATGCTGCTGACCCATCTCCAGACAAAACCTGCCCTATATTTGTCCAGATAATGAGGCTCTACAGTGTAAACTCAGCCCTTGCCATCAGTGTAAAGACTGCTGCCTCCTATCTGCTCAGTAGCTTCAAAGCCTTATGCTCAGCCTTGGAGCTATGTCAGTCCCTGGGCTGGCACTAGGGGACAAGGGGCAGGACACGGGGGCACCCATGCCTCATGTCCCAGCATGCAGGCAGTTCTAGCACCATGCTCTGCTCTTCACCCATCCCCAGGGAGCCCAAGTGCCTTTCAGCCACAGCTTGGCACACACCGGAGCAGACTGACATGCCTTTAGAAACAACTCCTCAGTGGGGAGGAGGACAAGAGATGAAGAGGGATAAGCGCTCTTGAATGGAGGGGGACAACATCTCCTTCCACCTCTCCCTGCCCTCAACATCCACAGCATCTTGTCCCAGTGGCCCCTCCAGTTGCTGCCTGCCCAGCTCCTGAGACAAATGCTTCAAGGCTTGTTTGGTCCTGCAGGAGGGAGAGGAAGAACGCCGGCATCTCTGTGCCCTGTCTGCACGTACTGCAAATGAAGGGATTAGGAATTATAATCCAAGAGTCTTATTTTAAAGCAGCTTTTCGGCTCTGTGAGGGGAACTTCAGTGTGATGCTCCTAGGGGAGCTGGGTGACAGGGACAGCAGCTGTCACAGCCCCACCCACTGAGGGTGCCAGAGCAGTAGCAGCCGAGGCTCTCCCTCCATGCTTCATAGGGTGACACTTCATCTGGGAGCAGGTGGATGTGTGCAGGGAGGCTCCTGACCTGCACCACTGGCAGTGCCTGCCCCTGAGAGGCACTGTTATCGTTCCTCTTCTGAGCTTCCCCCCCAGCCCGTTCCTCCCATTGTTTTCATGGCAGACCTGTGCATAATGTTAACAAACTGCTGGGTTTTTTTCACTGGCACCTCTGCCCCCTTTCCCTCTGCTAATTATTATGGCAATGCCACTTCTAGGGCCAGTCGACAGATGGCTGGGGTTTTATCTTTGGACAAGCTATTTAATAAGGGCTCCTGCTTTTCCCTTGCACATTTCTTTCCTGGCCACATGTTCAGAGCTGCTGGCTGGGTTGTCCTTTTCACTGGGGGTGCCAGAAGATGAAAGCTGCAGTCAGACCCCAGGGGATAGGGTTTTTTCTTTCCCTTTAGAAAAGGAGGGTAATTCTGCCCAGGTTCATGTGGCCCTCACTGAGCAGTGCTCTCCCTCCCTACAAAAAGAAGCAACAGCAGACCAGTCCCCACAAGGAGGTCAGAAGGGCTGTGCTAAATGCTGGGTCCTACAGGGCAGATCCTAAGTGCACAGAAAGCCGATGTAGGTGCTGAAACCAGCCTGCTGCCTGCTCACACCAGTAGAAACCTGGATCACAGGGACCAGCCTGTGCTGTGGTTTATGCTGCCATCAGCTTTGCTGTGGCCAGCTGGGTGCAAAAGAAGTAATTCCTTCTGTAGGTCATGGTCTGTGACTGGAAAAACAGGGAAAGCTAATGGTATCAGGGGTTGCCCAGACAGTAAGTGGGGCTGTCTTGGATGTGCCATGGAGCTGCATGTGACATTTGCTGATGCTGACTGGTGACTGCTGGTTTAGCTGGGTCATTGTGCATGAAAGGCACATGGCTGAAGTCTGAGACTAAACCTGAAGTTTGTTTCAGAAAGATAAAGCTGAGGTTTCTCCCCACTGTTGCTGTCTCCCAGGCTCTGAAGGGGGTGTACTAGGACCCAAACTCTTCTGGACCTGCTCCATGAGCATGGGGGAAGCTTTCCTTCACGTGAGAGTGAAAACCAGGGAAACAGGAGGAGGCTTTGGGCACCAGTTGCTTGGTGGCAATGCCTCAGTGGAGGCACCAGCACCAGACACCAGGCCCTGGTATGGCCAGGCTCACTTCAGTGACTATTCTCCCTGGATTTAGCAGGCTTTCTCTGTACCTGTTTTTCCCAAAGAGTTTTCAAAGCCAAGTGTCCTGGGGACTTGGTACCATTCACACCGAGCTGTTTGGCGATGCCTGCCCCAGTGAGAGGGTTTGGGCTCCCCAGCCAGCAGGGCTACAGCACTATTTGCTGTTTTGTCTTCCCCTACCTTCATTTCCTTTCCCATGGAAGCTGGAGAGGGCTTTGGCAGCTTTTCTTGCTTGTCACTTGTACAGTTGCAATGGTTGTAACATCAGCTGTCCTAGGTTGCTCCACTCCTGCCAGGGCTGCTTGTCCTGGCAAGGAAAAGTCCTGCTCATAGCATCCCAGGAGGGCTGGTGTCCAGCTAGCTGCTGTCAGAGCCTGGCTGGCAGCCCCCCACACTGTGCCTGCCTGTGCCAGGCTTAGCTGTTCTGGGCTTGGTCAGAGCCAGCAGAGATGAACATTCAGAGTATATGGATTTGTGTTTTCCTATGGGGAACATGGAATCATAGAATCATAGAATGGTTTGGGTTGGAAAGGACCTCGAGATGATGAGCTGAAATGTACTGAAAAGTCAGACTTTCCAAAATGGGAGGGAATAGGTAGGTGTACATGGAAGGCATAAGGGTGGACATATTTCACTTGAAGTGGTTTTGCTGCTACAGTCTTGGACCTACAGTCATAGAACAGTAAGGAACTTCTTCCTTATACGTAACCTGAACTTCCCCTGTTTAGCCTTTAACCCATTACCCCTTGTCCTATCACTACAGTCTCTAATGAAGAGTCCCTCCCCAGCATCCCTGTAGGCCCCCTTCAGATACTGGAAGGCTGCTCCTTGAGCTCTCCACACAGCCTTCTCTTCTCCAGGCTGAACAGCCCCAACTTTCTCATGTAGAGGAAAATCCTTCACTCTCCCATTCCCTGGTGTTTTTTTTTGTAAACTGACTTGATATCACTTGGGACACCCTACTCTTCATGAGGAGGAAAGCTCAGGATGACAGGATTCTTGTTTTCAAGAAGTCATTAATGACTGTACCACACTGTCAGACCCCAAGGCTGGAGCATGGGCATTGCATAAAATAAGATCCTACACGCTTCAGAACAATCCCAGACCATGGATTGTATGGATTAAGGCAGAAAACATAGCTTCTCAGCTTGTTTTTAACCTCAGTTGCACTCATTAGCTGCAGGAAAGATGCTCCAATACTGACCAAGTGTAACAGAGCTCCTAATCTGCTTAAATCCCACAGCTCTACTCACCTGCCATCCTCATCCTTGAGGCACCTGATTTTCAGCCACCTTTCTTAGGTCAGGCAGGAGTACGTGCATGATTCCAGGTTGCTGGACTCAAGATCTGGCATCAACCTTACAGAAAGGCACCCGGTAGCTGGTGACAACAGGAAACCTGGATGTGTGGGGAATGGGGGAGCTGTGATGAGCTGTGCCCCAGGCACCCCCGAGGCACCAGCATGATCCTTCCAGAGTACCCCAGGTGAGGTGGAAGGGGGAGCCCACTGACAGCAAAGCACTTGTGGGATGCGCTTGATTTAAAGTCCATCTTTAAAGCTGTAGAGAAAAACTGCATCTCAAAATGCTCGGTGGAAGACAGTGGCATACGTTGATCAAGTCTGAATGCACTATGTGTATGTTATTGCACATTATGTGGACTGCATTCATGTAACAATGTAGAGATGCAATATGACAGCTGTAGGATATGATTTTTGGATTGTAATCTTTGTACCAGCACTACCTGTACGTGTCTGCATAGTATCCATCCCAAAAGGACATGCAGCCTTAAGCTTAATAATAATACCTGCACATAGGAGCAAGTTAGGAGTATTTCACATATAGACAATCTGGTTTTATTGCTTTCATCTTTACAGCCAGGTGTGTGATCTAAACATCAGGCAGAAACGTCTCCAATAATATCCTGTTTCAAAACATCTTAGAAAATGACTGTTTGGGATTGGGCTCATTTATTATAAATCCGTGGCACACAAAAACATAAACAGGAACCTCTGAATCCTTGGGAAATTGCCTGTCTGTGTCTCAGAGGGATTTCTGTCCTACGAAGTGTTTCACCGTGGGCCTGGGGATCTAAGGGATTCTTCGAAGCCAGCAAAGAATTTGCAAGCTGTAGACAGGGTTTTTTTAGCAGGTGCAATCTGAACCCAGCATCTATTCGACTCAGCTGTAAAGTAGGTTGCCTTCCCCCATCCATTGCAAAGGAGAGCTCGCTTTGTGTGCACATGTTCAACTCTGATCAGCTCTCTCATCCCTGTGCAGAACTTCACAAAGGTCAGTTTCATTAACCTTGGGGTTATGCTTTGGGTAAATATGCATGTGTATCTGATTTGCATGGGAAATGTCATTTTCCTTACGTGCCTCCCATCCAAATGTTAACCCAGCCTGAGCCTACGTATCCTGTGAGATGTGCTGCGATGGTAGCTGCAGCCAGCACAGCTGTCCTGTTCATGCAGTGCACGGCTGCATACGCCCAATACTTTCGTACAGCACATTCAGCTGTGTCAATATACAGGTGCCTACACGTTATCATCCATATAGAACTACATGTTGGCAGATGGTGTGTGCGTTAACATGCAGTATGTGCTGATGTCTCTGGGTGCATGAGTTTCTCTGTGGCCAGCTGGCGCCCAGCATACGCATTGGCACACGCGGCTTGTGAAGCTGCTCTCCTTGCTGCAGCAGCATGGGTGTGCAAGCTGCCTTCCCCAGCGGTGCAGAGCTACACAGAGGGTCTGGAGCTGGATCTGCAGTGTGCCAGCAAGATGGAAAGAAAGTTGCTGCAGCGCAGAACAGCCTTGCCTTCCCCCCCCTCACTGTTTTCCTCTCTGCCTCACTGCAGGGGTGAATTTTACTTTGAGTTGCTGTACCTTGGACAAGATTATTTCTTTCTGTTTTCCTCTGGATCTGATCCTCAGAGAGCCTGAGCACTGAACTAGCTTCTGCTGTGTTCCATGAAATACCAGCAGCAGCTGCAGCAGGCTGCCCCTGGGGCCAGCAGGGAGCCACGATGCTTTGCACTCCTTGGGAGTGCACCCTTGGTGTGTCATGTCATAGAATCATAAAATGGTTTGGGTTGGAAAGGACCTTCAAAGGTCATCTAGTCCAACCCCCTGCAATGAGCAGGGCCAGCTTCAACTAGACCAGGTTGCTCAGAACCACATCCAGCCTGGCCTTGAATGTCTCCAGTGATGGGGCACCCACCACCTCTCTGGGCAACCTGTGCCAGTATTTTATCACCCTCATTGTAAAGAATTTCCTCATCCAGCCTGAATCTCCACTCTTTTAGTTTAAAACCATCACCCCTTTTCCTATTGCAGCAGGGCCTGCTATGAAGTCTGTCCCCATCCTTCTCATAGGCCCCTTTTGAGTACTGAAAGTCTGCCTGTGCACGCCACTGGAGGCCAGGGACACGGGACGGGGAGCTGAGGCAAAGAAGACATTAGAGCACAAGTGACATATCTCAATATAATTTCTAAAATTCTATTAATTGAACAGATAAAATACCTCTGATCTATTTTTGTTAATTTTGTTACAAAATATTAGCCATTTGGACTCTTTGCTAGGTGTGACCACACCACTTTTCCCAAAGGAACCTTTTCTCGGTGATATTTACAGCAGGAAACAGGTACAGACAGACAGGTGCTTTCAAAAGCCTACACACAGGTAACACTTCTGCTGTTAGTTGTTAAAAAGACACATTCAGATGGGGTTGTGACTAGGGTTGAAGAGTGGGTGACTTCAAAGCTGCTGTCCCAGGCATAGCTGTGCCAAAGCAAGCAGGACGAGGACAGCTCTAGCTCACAAAACACTGTCGGCAGTCCCTGGAGCCTACACTAGCACAGTGAGGCAGCTGGTGGAGTGGGAGATGGGGGAGCTTGCTCAGCAACTTGCATTTCAAAGCAGAGACTCTGCCAAGCAGCAGCTTCCTTGATCTAGGGCTCAGATTTGTTTTGGAAACCTCACAAACATGTGCAGATTGTTGCAGGTTGAGCCTTCTAAGAAACACATAACAGAATTCAAACTTGCAGCTCAGCAGCCCTCAAACATTTCCAAATCTGCTGGTACCCTTTGGCGAAGAAGTTCGAGTATTGATGAAATTCTGGTTGTGGACCATATCCACACCTCTCATCTACAGGGAGGAGAGAAAAGGTGAACAGTGGGATGCTTTGAAGGTCTTGCAGAAAGCACCAAGTGTTGCTACCATGGTGGCCCAGACTATGGCGTTAAAAGTGTTACAGCAGTGGAGAAAAACTGTGTTAAACCCAAATAGTTTGCACTAAGCCTGATTCTCCTGCCACAGTTTCTCCCTCCCTTTACTGTTGGTGCAAACAGATTAATTTCACTGGCCCTGTACCAGCACGAGCAAGAGAGTCTCAGGACAGAGCCTGATGGGCTGCATAACACAGCTTTGTAGACCTCACCTTGCTCTCTTTACCCTCCTGCAGAAGCAGCAGCTTCTTTGGCCACTGACTACTCAACACTCACTGCAGAATACAGAATACTTTCTACTGGGCTTCTCTTTTCTCTCTCCCCCCTTCCTCTCTTTTAATATAGAAGGATATGAATCCAACAGCAAAGACACTGGTTATTAGGGTTGATTTAATCTCTGCAGCAGCTTCCTGCCTGATCCATCCACCTGAAAGATTGTGTTAGGCTCATGAGCAGAATCGCTGCTGTCAAGGGCTGGTGATTTTTCTTTGGACTGGTCCCTCCAGGCGAGCTGTGGTACACATTTTGTCCTTCATTAGGTTGTCACTGACATGCTCTTTCTAGCCTGCACCCCGCACCCTGTCAAGGATCAGTCTGTGTGCAAGGGTGCCTATACACCATACTACAGCTACATTCAGCCTGTGTGTCTCGCTTGGGTGGTGGAGGGCTGTGGGAGCAGACAGTACAATAGATCAGATGAGGTGTAGACATGCTTTAAAGTGCTTGTCATCCTTCAAGACCAACCTTCAAAGGAGAAAAAAAATCCATACTTAGAAGTGAAGTCCGAAGGGCTCAGCTACACAGTAGAATTTAGAGCAGCCTGTTGCACGACAACCTGGAATAGAGTAGTTTGGTGTCTCTCTAGCTGAACCCAACAGAAGACGTTGTAGCCAGCAGGCTAGAAGACAGCAAGTGTTATCTACGTTTGCTTCTCTGTCCAAAGCTCAAGGCCAGCATTAGCCTTTGCAAGGTCAGGGAAATGGAGCCAACTTGCCCTGAGAGACTGCTGTGCCTCAGGTACCTCGGCACTTCATTTAACTCGCTTCCACCCTTCACCCAACACATAGAAGGGAGTCTCATTGAAGTTTCCTTATTTCTCCCTTAAATTCTTTCAGCTCTCCCAATCAATTATTAAAGCAGCAAACCTCTCTTGTAGGAACTTCATAGGCATTGTTATAAATATTTTATCTAAAAAAATTATTTCATCAAGTACCTTCAGGTTCTGTTGTTGTCACTTTGTGTTAAATGTCAAGTAAAATCTAATTTATTTATTTTAACACACTCACACAGACATTCAGTGGCTTGCTGCACTCTTGGAAAAAACAAACAAACAAGGACTGCCATTCCTCTCAGGCAGTGAAGTAACCACCGAGAAGGGAGGGCAGTGTCAGCCATAGAAAGAAAGTGTCATAATGCTACCTTATTATAAATCTCCTCCTGCATACCACCCCTTCCACTGCAGCAGTGAGCAAAATAAAATGGCAGCTATACGCTACATTGACTGGACAACAGCAGATGCCACACGTATGACTGCCCAGGAAGCTTTGGGCAGGTCAGACGAGATCTGGGCTGCGTGATGAGATGGTGTGTCACCCTGGAGGGAGCCAGCAGCAGATCACGCCAGCTGTGCCTCACATCTGGCTGGAGTGAGGGGCTGAGCCCTGGCTGGGATGAGGACCTCGCCCTGGGCCGGGATGTGGGATGTGGAGCATCCTCACTGCCCTGAGGGGCTGGATGGAAGAAAGCTGCTCTGGTCTGGAAGGAGACTGGACTTTTGTTCAGGCTTTTCTTACATTTTTGTCTGTCTTATGCTTCTGCAGTGCTCCCTGTGCCTGTTCCTTTTCAGTTCATTTGCTATTGCTTATAAAAGCAGTAGCCTAGTGCCCTGCTCCACACAGCTAAGAAAACAACTTAGACCTGCTGGCACACCTGGGTCAGGCCCAGAAATAAGGGGACCTGGAAGAGAGCAGGCTCCTGCCCTGGAGAGCTGGCCAAGCACAGGGAACCCTTCACCCCAGCCCCTGTCCACTTCCCTAACCCCAGCTGGGCTTATGTCCAGGTTAAATATATGAACTCTTTCATCTAACATTTCAGCAGGGCCAGAAGACATCCAAAGGGCACTGAGGGGAGCCAGTCCCTGAAGCACTGAGGGTTTTGTCACCGGCAATAGCACCAGAGGTGAGCATACTGGTGCAATCCCTATGGAAATCGCTTTGCGAATTTTACCCTGCAAGGTAAAAAAGAGTCTCCTGCATCTGTCTTCACTGCTCCCCTTTCCTGACATTCTGCACATCCCCACCATTGCCAAAAACTCCTGCCACTCCTCACCCAACGGCTGTCATCAGCACTCAGTGCTCACATCTCAGCCTGGCACAGGAAGGAAGAACATTTCTTTCTTTCCCTCTTAAAATGACATAAAAATAAAGGCCCTAAAAGGCATTCTGTCCTATTTTAAAATCCTAAAGTTGATCTTCCTAAGCCTCAAAGGGAAATCGAGTGAATGAGTAAGACCAAAGCCTTTAAGATAATTAATAACTTCCCCTCCCTACTGCTTCCTAAAAATACATCCACAGCCCATTTTTAATGCCTTCTTCCTTCACATCAATGTCCCCAGTAAAGCAGAGCTGTCATCTCTATCTCAGGATCTACCCATTCCCTTACTTTGAAGCTGGGAGAGGGAAGGATAGGGAGGGAGAGAAGAGAAAAGGCCCTGGAGTTTGGTATCAGGGCAGCTTTCCTATAGGAAGGGCTGATGGGGGAAAGAGCATAGACGGGATCTCACATGAGTGGTCTCCAAAAAGCCCCTTTCCTCTAACACAGGAGGGAACATCTACCCCAGAAAGTGAACAAAACACTTGGCTTTGCTTTCAGAATAGAAAAAAGCAGGTGGGCAGGAAACACAAAACCAGCCAGAAGGAGGAAAGCAGAAGTGGCTCTGTTTCATGCTAGAGAGACAATCTTTGTATGTGTGTGTGTGTGTGTGTGTGTGTGTGTGTGTGTGTTGAGGTGGGAGGGCACCTCTTGGTGCCATCTTTTTGGAAAAGTACTCAACCATCCCAGGAAAGATCCCTAGACTTCATCCCTTCTGCTCCCTCAGAACTGCTTGGTGTTTCCTTTAGTAAGCATGCGCCATACATACGCTACCATACAGGTGTATTTACATGTGATGAGGTCTGCTAGGTCTCAGCAGAGGTCTCTGGTACAATGCTCCAATATAACAACAGAAAGAGTTTTGGTGTTCAGAGTGAGGCCATCTTCGTGTCGCACTGCAGCTCAGGACAGTCTCTCCTCCTCTTGAGCTTTCTTCCACTCGTGCACTCCTTTGCTTGGAACCGGCTGCTGCGAGGATCGAGTATTTGAAGAGCGATGAGAAGAAAGCGTAGCAAGTGGTACAAGTTCTCAGCTCCAGCTTAGCAGGTGGCAGCAGTGGTGGCAGGGGGGACTCCATCCCCAGGAGTGCCCCAAGGCTGGTCCTTGGCACAGGTGGGTCCATTTCTCTCCCAGGCTGGCAAAGTTTTGGGGTGGGTACAAACCTACGGCCGGGTTAATGCAAGGCGGGGGGAGGTCGAGGAGTAGCAAACGGAAGACACAGTGCTTAGAAGGCAGCAGGTTATCAAGCCTCTCAGGAACAGGGCAGCAAAGTGCTACAAGGGAATGGCACGAGCACAGGAGGCCAGCGGGGCTGGCAGGGTGTGAGGATGTGTGAGCATGTAGGTTGGCAGTTTCTACAGATGGCTCCTCACAATTAGCATCACCTTGAGGGGAGGCAGGGCAAGAGTTAGGTCAGTCGGCTGTTTTTTTGACTTTTTTTTTCTTCTTTTCTTCTTCTTTTACTAAAAAATAAATCACAAACTAGATCTCTGTAGGCAGAAAGGGTCCCCAGGGGGCAGTGGGGAAGGGAAGCAGGGAAGTCTGTGCTGTTCTGGTGCTGGTGGTGTGGCTACACGAGGCTGCGTGAGCCACTGGAGTACCTGCGCCTCTGAAGCAGGGAGCCTGGGGGGCAATACTGGTGAGGGTGGTTGTAGGGAGGTGGTGGAGGTGGGAGGGGAGGCTGATGGACCAGCTTCATGGGGGTCCCCGGGAGCCCACTGCCCACACTGCGCCAGGGGGTGGAGGTGCAGGAATCAGAGGTGACGTAGCGTGTCAGAGTCTGGTTGAGGGCCGGCTCCATCCGAGCGAGGCACGGCTTGTCCAGGACAATGACTTTGACAATCTGCTGGCACTGTACAAGCGTCCCCGCCGAGGCGGGGTGCGAGGGCACCAGTGCTGTCTCCAGCCGCTCCTGTGGCATGTTAAGATGCGTGCTGGGCTGCATTCCACTCTCGGGCCCCAGGGCGGAGTTGTGCTGGTACGTTTGAAGCCTGTTGTGAATTGACACCTAGTTTAGAAACAGCCAAAGAAGCATTAAATGTTACAAGACTTTTCCCATCTGCTGCTACTGGCTGCCCTGAGCCCCCACCACCAGTTGGCCTCACGTGCATTAAACCCTCCCTCCAAAACCAAACCAGAACAGACACAACCCCCGGCTGCGCAGAACTCCCCAGTAGCCCCATCATCCCCATCTAGGCCTAAGCGCCCCTGTCCTTTCCATCGTGTCAAAGGCATCAGGGCCGGCGTTCCCAAAACCAGTGCAATTTTGATTGTCCAAACAGTACAGGGAACGCAAATCAACTCTAGGTCCATGAATTCTCATGGTAATGAACAGACCTTGGAGGTCATGCCCTTGTCCCCACCAGCAAAAAGGAGAGGGGAACCAGACAGCGAGGCTTCAGATAATAAAGGTTGTGCGTTTCAGCAATATGACAGTAGCTGAATCTGAGATAGGGGCAGACAGAGAGCCTCAAGCCTTTCCCAGCTCCCTGCCTTTCTCAGTCGGAAGGTACACCACCTGACTGGCTAATCTGTTTACAAAGGAAAAAGCAGAAACCTGACATTCTCTAGCAAACGGCAGCTCCCTCCGAACCATTTGATGGTTTGTCAGTGAAAGGAAATGATTTTCAAAAAAAATAAAAGGAAAAAGGAAAGGAAAAAATGCCCGTCTAGCTCATACAATGATAAAAGAAATTCATGATGAAATGGCAGCAGATTAGATAATCTCAAAGAAATGGAAATGCTCCTCTGCTGGCAGAGTATTGCTTGGGCAGCTGGAAGGGGGAAGGGGAGCAGGAGGTCATCAGGGTCCTCACAGGTTGATAATGGAGTCACATGAGGGAGCTCACTGAGCCCAGTTTGAAAAGGAGGAGCTGGACTGGACTGGAGGTCCCTAGAGGGGGAAGCACAGAAGGAAAATGGTGCTTCCCAAATGGTGGATGAAGTTGTAGTTCCTCCTGGCAAGGGTATGGGCTGATGGAAACCCCGAGTCAGAGCAAAGTTGCTGGCTCAAAACAGAATGTCAGCCAAGTGACAAACCCTGGTAGGAAACTAGTACCTGCAGGTTTGCATGGCACTTCCAGTTAGGCAGGGGTACAGCAGACAGGCAGATGAGACAGTGGGGGTGCCCTGGTGGTCTGGCACGTTGGGCAGCCATGCCAACAACGGGGAAGGAGAAGCTGTGGAGTGGCCAAGCTTCCCACCATGCTGGAAAAAGCATGGAGGTTGCTCAGAGTCACTGTACAGCAGGACATAATATTGTGTTGATATTTATACAGGCAGTGGACTGTCCCATAGGAAAAACTGGTTGCTGGGCCACAATGCGCTACTGACATTAGGATACATGGAAGCCATTCTCCACAAGGAAACGCTCCTCCCAACAGGAATAGGAAATTGGCTGGTAGAGGCACCTTCCCCAGGAAGGGGGTGTCTGCAAGGAAGTGGGGTGCTCTTCAGGGAAAAGAAGCAGCACCCACTCCCCACAGAGAAGCTGAAATCTTCAAGTGAATATACTAGAACAAGAGAGAAAAGAACTACCCTGGAAAAGGGCAAATTCAGGACAACGGTAATATTCCAGACAGGGAGAGAGTAGGAAGCAATAGACAAGATTTTCAGCTGTGAAGATCACATTTTCCTGTTTCCTCACAGCCAATGGAAGTATGGGTGTCTGTGAAGAAACAGGCAACCCACTGGATGCTAGACATCCCTGTGAAGGTAGAAGTACACTGGACAGCCAAGCTCCCTGCCTAGGAAGCTGAAGCTCTAGGGAAAGTCTCTGGTATACAAAGGCCATGCTTAATCCCCTACAAGGGGGGATGGAGAGAGAGAGCTGCAGAGATTGTGCAGGAAAGCTGGGCTGCAGGGAATTTGCATGTGATGCTGCATGGAGTTAGCATGTCAGGAAAGTCTTTAGTGGGGTTCTCAGTCTCCCCAAAAGCAGTGGGGTAGGTTAGTCTACAGCGTTTGGGAGCTTGGTCCATGAGGGATGTTACAGTTATAAAAACGGATTGAAAATGCTTTGAAGTTTAGTTTGGATTTGAAAGTTGTATTACCCGTCCTAGCAGTAACTTTTAATTGTATCTCTGGAAATTGGTAAAATTGTCAGTCTGGCTGGGGAGGCATTGATTAAAACCTGAGAAAAGAAACAACAGAGAATGTGAGAAGAGCTGAAGTGAGAGAGAATTACTTACCTCAGCTGCTCTGCACTCTACTTACCTCCACTGTGCTGTCCGAGACCTTCTCTCCCAAATCCTTCTTGCCTTTGAAAGAAAACAACAAATCTCACTCATGAGGTCTCTACTGGCCCTCATACTGTGCACTGGAAAGCTAAAAGTAGAGGTGCATGGCCAAAACAAGGCTCTTGACTGCATAAACAAATCCAGACCCTCTTGCAACCTCATAGCTGCTTAGTGGGGTCAGAGGAGGCCCCTTCCGGATTCTCTCCTTAGGTCCTGATCTCAGTGCCATTACAGTGAGTTGGTAGCCACTCACCTCTGCACTTGCTTTTTGCTGGCATAAAAGCCAGGGCACGAATGGACACAAAGCTTGTGATAGAAAGAGGCTGGTCCAAAGTGTTGGTATAGAGGCTGGAGGAAGTCAATAATGCAGTTACTGTGTTGCATCAGTTCAGGGAACAAAAAGCATCTCAGGTTCTTCAGCAGTTACCTATGCTCCACCAGTAAAGCCTCTTTGCTAGATGTTACAGCTACAGACTGGGTAATGAGGCTTTAATGGCTTTTCTAGGGTATTTGAAGAATGCACATATTTCCACTATTTCTCGTATTTCCACTATTTGCCCAAGGCTAAAGGATACAAAGCTGAAATTTCTTTTTGCAGTTATTCTCACAGGAATCAATGAAAACACATTTGCAAAGGCACCACTGCTTAACCATGAGAAGCTGGGTGTCCTCTTACCTGTTGGTGAGCCTTGCTTAGACTGCAATTCCATCTGGGCTCCATTGGTCCTTAATGAGAGAGTCTTTGCCCCTTGCTGTTTCTCCAGCTCCCCTGCAAGACAGATATACAAAAGCTTACAAGAATGGAGAGGACACCAGCATATTGAAGGAGCAATATGGGAAGTCAGTAAGGAGAATTAATGCAAGAATATTACAAGAGAGTGTCAAGAAGGGAAGGAGAGAGGAACAGCCAAGAAAAAAAAAACAGAAACTGGAGAGGACTTGATGTGGAGGAACTTACATATCTCCACACAGCCCTCTATGTATGACCTGCATTTATAATGAATAGGTTGCACAGATGAGACCACTGATGCTGAGCTACTTTGACTCACCAGTTTATTCATGGAAAGGCCATTGAAGGCTACATGAATATCTGATCTGTGTAGGACAGACCACAGAGAGACACAGTACAGACTGCATGTCCCCTAGACATTCCTGGACTGAAGGACAACTCTGCTAAGGCTACCAGACCTGTCTCATACTTTTCAGCTACCTAGTGTCCATATTTGCATAGTTAAAGGAGTATGGAATGGAGAAGAGTCTTCTGGGTCTGAAAGATTCACTATTCCAAGCCACTGCATCATTCACCCTGTTTCATAAGCATCGTAAGTAGTTGTTCCATTTCTCCTGCTGGTGGGTGGTCACAGAGCCTGACTGCTGTTTCACATTATCGATGAACACAAGTCCTGTGCAGACTTGTGCTACTCATCCTCTTTCCCCGTGTTCCTGAAGAACGCATTTCCTTTACCCTTTCTCCCTTGTAGACACATGCAGTGTGATGGCATTGGAGTGTGAATTGTGTTAGAGGCCCTTACATTCAATTCGTATCTGCTCCAGCTCTGTCACTTCTGCTATCGACTCTTTGAGGTCTTCCACAAACTTCTGCATTTCCTCAGCACCCAGAGCACAGAAGTGTAGTACCTGTTTCTTCTCTGAGCCTGAAACTGGAGTCACCAGTGTGATGCCATGGGGGTAATCTGTAAAAAAAGGTGTGTCAGAAAAATTAAGTGGTGTTAGGCATTCTTGCTGGAGTATTTGATTGCTTTGGTACCTCTGCAAGACAGAGTTTCCAACATGAGTCCAAGGGAATGGCACACCTAGAGTTTGTCCCACTGCAGACTGAGAGCCTGCAACATTGCAGCCTTCCAAGGGAACAGAATAGCCAGCTTGCAGCAGTAAGGCAAGTGCCACCAGCACCACAGAACTGCCCAAACCAGCTCTTAGTTACACTTATGCAACACTGGCTCTAGGAACCTGAGCACAGAGGTAGAACTGTAAAGCCCTTCTAAATCTGTGGAGGAGTAAAGAGTATATATTGGAGGACAACAGCACTTCTCCTGTGTGAGATGCAGCAGGAGAAGTTGGCTCCCGGAGTCATAAGCCAGAACATCCATTAACACCCACAGAGGCAGGACTTCTCCCTAGTCTCTGCTTCCATCATCAGAGAACATGTCAGGGGTGTTAGCACAGCATGGGTGGGGAACTCATTGTACTATGCAGAGAGAACGGTAAAGATGTGGGTTTGTAGGTCTCTGCTTAGCAGTCCCCAGCACGCAGGAATGTAAATGAAAGGATATGCCTGGAGAGTGAAACATCAAAGAAAAAGGCCTTGTGTTTTAAAAACCAGGTTGGGTGCAGGGAGGTGGTGGCTGGAGACTCAGCCAACAGAAGCAGGAGAACAAGAGCATGCAGAGAACTTGCTACACTTGCGACTGGACTTCCTCTACCTTTCGCTCAATGGCCAGTGGTTTCAATCCATTTTCTCCTTCCCTCTCACCTTTCTCCAGATTTAATTTCTTTCTTCTGCTGTCCTGCTTTCTCTCCTCCTCCACTGCCTACTTTCCACATGCTCTTCCTTTATCAATCTTTACTACACTAGCCACAGGACCAACCTGCTATTTGCTGCCAGCCCTCAGCTCCCCTGGTTTGTGTCTGAGGACCCTTTTCCCACCCTGTGTCTCTTTGACCTGTGACAAGCTCTTTGGGACATCTGCTTTTCTGTCCCTGCAGGGGATACATGGCAGGATGCCTTTGCCAGAAGTTCATTCCCAGTATAGTCATGATACCCCTGAAAGCTGATCCCTGCTATGGTGGTGCCCAGGGATGCTCAGTTATAAATTACTCTTGTACACACAGGGATGTGAGAGACTCTGCAGGCTGCAGAGGATATGGTGCTAAGAGAACAACTCATGCTGCCAATAAGGCAGAGGGAAGATGTAAAATACTTGGTATAGCCACAGAGCTGCTACAGTCTTCCTTCCTTGCTGCATGTTCTACAGCTCCTCACAAACTCCCCAGCCCCTCTGCCTGCACCAGCAAGAAGCCTGCCTGTTTCTGGAACTCCTCCACCACACAACTAGCTTCAATCATGACACATCATGGCTCTATTCCCAGTCCATCAAGGTCAGGCTGACTAGGGCTGGCCTCTCGCCATGCTTTGGTGGGTGCTGTTCCAAGGACTCTGCTTCTGTCTTGGGAAGCTTTCAGCACAGCACAGCATGGCACAGTGCGAGGAGGCAACAGCAGCACCTGAACCTTTATCAATGTCAAACGTAGAGGTGAGAGTTGTGACTTTGGGGAGAGGGGATAAAGTTGGAAGCAGCAGTTTTGTCAGTGAGGTTCTCCACCTACAGTTGGCTCCTAAGAGCTCACCGAGATGTATCTAGAGATTGACTCCTTCATTTCTTCCCACTAGTGCTCTCCCCGCCACCATGACAGACAGGTCTTTCAATAAACTTTAGTTCATCCCTTCTGCAGGAGCTCAGACCTATTGAGAGTTAGCAGGAGGCTCTTCTGATCACACTGTACCTGCACAGTCGTCTCCTCAGCACCAAGCCTCAGTTTTCTCCCCCCCACTTTAAACCGTGATAGAATCTCTCTTCTGATGCAAACTCACACTGACTGATACAGCCCCCCTCTCTCCTACTCCTTTTCCCTGCCAAACCCCTCCAGGCAACCCATGAGCAATGGACTTACATTCATTCTCAAAGAGATGGAACTGCATCCCTAGCAGGCCAACCGACTTGCAAAATGTGTACGTTGAGGAGCTTTTCTTCTTGGGGCACAGCTTGAGGATCTGTTGGAGGGAGAGATGCATCACTGGGCAGGGTACTGGTGAAGAGTGAGGCAAGAACAATGCAACCTGCTCAAAGTAAGAAAGCTTTCTGCAAGCTCTGTTAATTCTGCATAGGAGTAACACTGGGTGAGTGACAGGCTCGTTGCCCAGAAAGCTGCCTGGCATACTGCACTTGTAATAACACTTCTGAAATTCAGCATGCATAGATAGCCCTGGGGCCCACGCAGCTCCCGGTCTCCCAGAGGGGCTGGCTTTCTGATGCCCACATTTCTGACTTTGCAAGGGTAATTCTCTTCACAGAGATTGCCAGATCAAAAGGCGAAAGGAAGCCTGTCAGAAATACCTTAGAGCTGGGAACAAGAGCATATGTGAATGCTGTGCTGCCCTCATTCCCTCAGCACTAGCTCTTACAGACCTGATTTATCAGATAGCAAGGAGCAGACCCTCTCCCCAGCTTCACAACTGTACAAACCAATGCAAGGGAATTGGTGGGGAAGTTCTCTTGTCCTCTCCCCCTACAAAAGGTCTTGGGGTTAGCCTTACATTTGCCACATCTACAGTTTCATTTTGCCATTAAATTCAGCAGAACTCCCATCTTGTTTGGCCTCCTCTCAGTCTCAGTGTAACTCTGCCCTCCCTTTTATCTGTCTGAACTCAGCTGCAAGTTTTAAAAGTACTGTACACATTTGGGGCTCCAGTAAGTGATATCTAGTTCCTACAGCCTTTGCAATGTTAGAAGGCAGTGGTCTTAAAGTGTCTGGCAGGGAAGTTTTAAAGCACATGGGAGGGCTCTGTCTACTATGGTACAAACAGAGAAAGAAATGAAATGAATCTTCCTGAATCTTCCTGCTGGCAAAGGCATGAGAGAGAGCAGTGACATTGCTGGGATGGCTGTGGGATGTGACAGTTTGTTTTTAAAGGGTTAGAAGAGGTTTAGATTTAGTAGGCTTTTAACAGTGAAGGATCCAGAGCTGTGTCTTACAGTATCGACAGACCAGGAGATGGTCTGTCCTTAGGACAGGGGGAAAATGGATGTTGTGGCCTGCTTTTAGGTTTCTTTATAGAAACAGGGGGAAGTTTTATCACTGCAGTGCCTAAACACCACTCACCACCAGCAGGTCATTGAAGAGAAAAACTTCCCTCTGGTGAGCTGCCTGCTTCTGCACTTTGTTCACATCAGTCACTTCGTATAAGCGGCTGCAGCAGACCAGGCGTCGATGGGGCACAGACAGCACCTGCATAAGACCCACAGGAGAATGCAGAGGCTGAGGGAGGTGCCACCGTGGGTCTCCCCCACCTTCAGCTGGTGCAACCCTGCCCAGTGACAGCAGCACAAAACAATTCTGCACACCCTCACCACCACTCCTCACCATCACTTTTCCTGCTGGTGCAGTAGCAGAGAGCTACACCTTTGTGATCTGGATAAATCTGCGGAGTGGGACAGGCTATAGGCAATCCCTCTTGCTCACACATCCTATCTTTCTACACTTGAGGCTTCCAATCAGTAGGTGACTACTCAACCTCTCAATCCACTGGACATCTGAAGGTTTCATGGGCTTTGAGAAATTATTCTGCTCCTTTTGGGTGAACAGTTATATATGTTTTTGCATTACACCTCAGTTGCTGTTAAAGAAGCTGTTTCTGCATTTGAGGGTCTCTTAACTCCAGCATCCTTAGGGAACTCTTTAGAGACAGATGGGTGAAATTGTTTTCTATCACTTTGCCTTCCTCTTCCTACACCCTCACAAGGTCTGAAAGTTTGAAACACTGCAGAGCTGTCACTGGAGCATTGGCAGGCAGGACGCGCATTGGCAGGCAGGACCTGTGTGATTCTTGGGCAAACAATTACTGCACCAGATACTATAAACTGTGGCTGAGAAGATCCCCCAAAATTAGGAAAGAATGAGACAGAGAGGAAGAAAGTGTTTGGAGAAAAAGGAGTGAATCCATCAAGACAAGCACGGAAAGCATTACAGAAGAAGAGTAGAGGCATAGAGGAAAAAGGCAGAAAAGAGGGCAGGGAGGGAGGAAGGGTCAGAGGGGTGAGTGGGTACCAGGAAGGCTGTAGGTGACTCACCGTTTTCATTCCAACTATGGACTTCTCCACTTTGGTGACATAAGTCACATGGTCCTCATTGGATTTTAGCTCTTTCTGCTGGATCCTCTCATAGATCCCCACGACCAGCTCCCGTGGAATGTCAGCACCATCGTCCACCCCTGCCGAACACAGAAACTGTTGTGCAGGCTAGGCAGGGAGAAAAGGGAAGGGAAGAACTGGTGGTCCCTGACAGGCAGCTACTGCCTCTGCACTGTGTAGTGCTGTGAAGGCTGAAGGGAAAGAGGAATACCTCACTTTAGGCTGTCTTCTTTCTTGTTCTAACACACCTAATGCACCAGCAAGAAAGACTGACATCTCTAAGGCCAATGCAGAAGATTTCATTATTCCTCTGCTCTGCATGGTGGCTCCTTTCCATGCGTTCCCTAAGGTTTTATAGCCACAATTTCACATTCATATATCTTGGGCCACTTAGCAGCAACCTCTGCATTGATTTCGTATCATCAGAAGTGCTAGATGTGGAGGAGATCTATGATGGGATTCAGCTGCTCCTCCTGCCAATGCAAGCATCAGCTCTGCTGTTTGCTTGGTGGCCTCCACTGTCCTTCTGTGATCTCTCCTAGGAGTAATATACTTTTCAGTTACGCTGTCTGTGGTATCTCTCTCTTGGCCTCGTCCTTTCCTCTTTTATATCTCCTTAGACAGTTCTCTAGATTTTGCTGTCTGATGTTTTCAGAGCCTGGCAGAAAAGTTTTCTTTCACCTTTCCCTGAGCCAAACGCCACAAATTGAACTGCCAGGTTTTCCTCTGAACTCCATTCCTCCACTCATTTTGTATCTATTTTCTCTGCTTTCCCTCCAGCTCTCTGGTTTGAGGTGTACTACCCTGAGTGATACAGGTGAGGAATTGCTGAGGAACGGAGAGGCATTATCATCTCCTGGCTCCCTCATCCATGTCCTTGCAAATGTAACCTGAATATTCTGTCTGTTTCCAAACACAGGCTGGTGAAGCTACTGACCTGGTATTGACCTGCAGGTGAGTCTGGAATGATCTGTCTCCCTTTGTCTGCAATGGAGTAACATTCACTCTCTCTAGTGAGTTGTGGTGCATGTTGGCTGAATTTATTGTGATGTGAACTGGCAGATTTTCAAGCAACTCTAAGTGTAAGTTAATGTAAAATACCCCTTTTCAGTTAGTGCTATCAGCTGTAATAACAAAGGGGAGGGGATGATGTCAGGTATCAGCCCTATTCAGTATTTCAGGAAATAACTTGAAAAGGGGCCTCATTATACTCATATAGAGCGGATGACAAATTGGGGAAGGTGTGGGAGGCTGAAGCAACACCTTCTGAACAGCAGTCAGGACAAAGAACCCACAGAAGTTCAAAATCTAGACAGCAATTTATACTAGGAAAACTTGAGGGAGCTGCAGATGTGCAGGAAGAGACACTTGGAAGATGACTGACCTAGGAGTGAACATGGCTGGGGAATCAAACAACAGTTTGTCTAGACATGATGTAAAAAAGGCCAAACAATACTAAGCTGCATTAGCAGCTCTGAAAATGAGGAGGAGGCAGTGGCTCTATATATGAGTATGCTGTGACCACATCTGAAAAAGTGCTTTTAGAAACCTATTACCAGGATGGAAAGGACTGACCTTGAAAACCAGAAGAAAATTGATTTGGGGAACTGATGTATCAGAAACTGCAAAGAGGTAATGTATGCTTGAACTCTGTCATGCCTACAGTTACTATAAGTAATTGCAAGCAATTAAGAAGGGGAAGATTTAGCCTGAATAGAAGGAAAATGTGTTTATGTATTCAAAGCTGCAAGGAGACGAATGGCTTGTTTAGCACAATCCAGCAGGGTCTAAGAAGGATGGATCTGAACAATAGGAAAATGTAATGCAATGGACTGCTTCCAAGCATTGAGATCTATTAAAAGATGAAACCCATCTCTCAAGGAAAATGGTTGGTTTCTGATAAGACTGGACAGCTTTCTGCAGAAAACAAAGCTTACATTTTCCTCTTGCCCAGCATTCCACAAGACACCTCAAAGGGCCCTCCATGTCTGGCTCACAAGGAGCAGCAGCAGCCCTAGAGAAAGGCAGCTTCACTTTAGTTTTGCTGCCTTCACGTAGGCAGAGTTTACAGCAACAAGAAAGCAAAAAACCCAAAGTAGGACTCTCACCTCTAAGATTGCGAATGAAGTCCTCCAGCATCATCTTCCTGTCAGGCTTGATGTTGGGGCTGTACATGTCCGTATTGAGGAGGATGATTGCAAAGGCCAATATGAAGATGGTGTCCGGGTTGTGAAACTGCTGGACCACATCTGGGTTACACATGCAGTACCTCTGGCTGCAGCAGGAGGGATGCACACACTTAACATGGAACATGGAAGCCCTCTGCTCCAGGGGGGCAACAGCTTCATCGCAAGTGGATCAAGCTGCTTTCACTCCACCTCTCACACAAATGAGAAGGAACTAACTTCTCTCTCAAGGCAAATTTATCCACCACGGCTGAAGTAGACCGCTGAAACTTCAGCCTTCTTGTTCTCAGGAACCAAAAAAGCAAGTGAGACTAGAGAGGACTGGTATCACTATGTTAGGGTAATATAGGAGCTGTCTACTCCAGCCTGCCTTGCTAAGGGCAAAGCACTCCTTTGGATGTGCCTAGGGAGCAGTGTAGCATCTCTGCAACCCCCAGTACTGCTCTTCCTGTGAGTTGCCAATGAACAGGGAGTCTCTTGCTGGCAGACATGTCGGGACTGGCCTCACTTCAGCCCTTTGAGCCCTTTATACCATGGAACATCTGACAAGGACATGGCTCTGCTGCAGCACTGGCACAGAGACTCCCTGCTTCAGAAGCTCCTCTGCGATCACCTTCTTTGGAAGGCAGGTTCCTGGCCATTCATTCCATGGCTGCTGCATGCTTTCTGCCTTGGGTGTGTTCTCTGTTTTCACCTGGTTGCAGCAGTGGGGCTGCAGGGTTCATTCCCTTGATTCTTACCTGAAAGCCTCAATGAGCCGCTCCACCTTCTGCGCCTCCCCCTGAACACGGATATGTGCCTGGAATTTCCGCAGGGCTTCATCCAGCTCCATGCCTGAGAAGTCCATCTCGTCCACCACGCAGCTGTGGGAGAGGAACACAGCCTTCGTCAGCACCTCCTCCTGCAGAGGATGCAAGGCAGGTTTGCTCACTGCACTACCAAGGCTCAGTTCCCAAGGGAAATACCATGGGAAAGGCCCTGAGCCACCACTACACTGCCCAGGTCACACTTATAATGGGTAGTAATTTCAGACAAGTGATTCCTGCATTCTACAGCAAGCAAGCAATTCTTGTATCTAAATATATATAGAGATATATATATGCATGTATGTGTGTATATACCATGATATATACATATATCATACCATGCACAAGATATATATTTATATATACAAAGTATATATATGTACATATTGATAATTATCCGTATAGATACAGATATTTAGACATCTATATCGATACCAATATCAACATAGATTTAGATCATCTATTTTTGCCTTTCCTATCATCTGGTAATCCTTCACACATTGTCCATTCCTCCCTTCCACTCAGCACATGCACTTGTTCGCTACTTGCTTCCCCATCCTTCTCTTATCTCTACTCACTGAGCTGTTCCTGCACTTGTCCTCATCTTCCATTCTGTCCAGTATACATCCCAATTTGTAGCCCATACCTTCATAGCATCTTCACTCCCACTCAACCACTGCAGCAGCAACATTCATTATATCTTTAAAGACCAAAGCCAGCTCAGAGAAAAAAGGTAATGGAAGCTGTTGTACAGAAATAACATTGCAGCATCTGATGGCTTGAAATATCAAGGCTGGATAAAACTCTGCCCGTGTAGTCAAACACTAGGAGTCCCCTACCAATTAATTCTGTATAAACCACTGTTCATTTACACGTTTCTACCCATTCCACACAATCTTTTTAATTTCCACCATACTTCAGTGCCATGCTTCCCTGTTATCTGCTAGAGATCCTTCACCTCATACATCTGGTATCATCACCTTTCCTTTCATGGTGATGCATTGCACACTGGTAATTCACAGCCAATTTAGATACCCAAAGAAGGGATGCCACCTCTCTTGTTTCCCACCTAAGCATTCTCAGCTTATAGAAGTCCTACCATTAGTCTCCAAAACCTACCAATACAGTTCTTGCTCTCTGTATTAGTCAAATAATCTAGTTCTTATTGTAACCGCCTGAAATTTCAGTCATTTGCAATGACAGCACCTTCCCCATGTGGCTTCAGCACATTTTGTTAACATATTCCTACTTTTGTGTCCAGGTCATACTGCAATCATTAATCAAAAGCCTAGACTCAGAAAACTCTGCTCATAGCCTCCCTTAGGCTCAGCTTCCCATTGCAGCAGAGTATGTAGGCACTAATGTCTGCATCAGGCAATTCTCTCCCCTGTTTATGATTCCTCTGCTAATTTCTAGCCATTCCACTCTCAACTAACAATTTCTCATGTCAAATGCTTTGGTGAAGTCTAGAATTACCTTCTGCATGTCCCTTGTCTAGAAAACCAGTTATTATTGTCTTAACAAAGACACTGAATTAATCTACTCTCCACTAGCTTTGGTATGTACCATTTACCCTCCTGTCTGCCATTATTCTTTCCCATAAAGAAATTCTCAAAGCTGACATTCTGTCAGACCAAGAAATTAACAGGTGCCAAAATCCCAATTTTTAAAGCCTTCCTTAAATGTGAAGTTACTAATTTGCTCATCTTCAATCATATGGCATCACCTTGACATTACAAGTGTGTTAAAATTTCAAGGACTTCATATTTTCTGCTTCTATATACCTTGGATGCTAATGCTATTCCTCCCACCCACCCTCCCCCTGCCTTTATATCATCCTCTGCATTGTCTTTGGTTTGTTTTCTCATGTTGTAAAAGATAAACTGACCCCAAATTTGAGGTTAGGAGGACTTTTTCCCCAATACAGGTTGCCTGGGACTATATGAGGAGTGGTACACAGAAAACAGAGGAGGAGGGGATTAGTTCTATTCTGGATCTTTCTATTTCCTAGGATTATCTGGAAATTTTCCCAAGCAACCCACTGCTAATCAAGGGATGTGCTGTCATCAGTTTTTCCTTCTTCCTTTCTGTGATAAACTGGGGACATGTCTGTTGGTCTTTCCTAGAGTGCTGTAGTTTGCTGCAGGCTGTTGGGAAGTACTTTGTGAGCTAGGTTGTGTCATGTGCAGCCTTGCTATAATGAAAATCTGATGCATGCTGTCTCAACTGTGTGAGGGACAGGGCTCAAATGCTCAGGGGCATCTCTCCATTCCCTCATTGATCAAGAGTCCAAATATCATTGCTTAACTGAAGCGACACCCACAGAATAAGTTAGCAAGAGCTCTGGCTGAACAGAGTCTTCAGTATCTCCTAAGGCTGGAATCATCAACTAGGAAACATGAACTCTGTGCCTCCACAAACTCCATATAAACAAAATGAGGGAACAACTGCTGAGTAGCAAGGGTGGAGAATCAATGGGGCTGCTTTCATAGGAAATCTTACATGAAATCTTCCTCTCCAAGAGGTGGACTGGCAACAGCAAAAACTCCCCCCCCCACCTCCTTCCTTTGCTATCTTTATTTTCTCACTCTTATACTCACATGTCCCTTGGGTTGACATCAAGGCTTCCTGCTTCTTGGAATTTATCTTGGATAGTAAGAAAAGTTTTTCTCTGGTTAGTCATTACTGTGTTCACAGCTGCAACCACCTCTGCAGTTGGACTTCTGTTATTATTTTTTAATACTTGCCAATGTGTGATGTTTCTCAGCATTGACCCAGTGATTTTGCTGTTATTGTCTGCTTCTAGACATGTGAAAACAGAGTCCTTGCACACACCAGTGAGACCTGCTGAGGTCCCCCTAAGTAACCCCAATCCACCAGCATTAAATTGTGTATATTTCCCTCCCTCCCTCACGGATCAATCCTTCCCGCTCCATGCAGGCTGCTATAACACATCCTTCCCTTTGTGTACAGATCTCAAATAATAAAGTCAATGCCCCTGATACAGAAAGCATGAAGCCTTTATTAGGACAAGTAGGACAAGGCAGCTGCTTATAGCTCTTTTCAAACTCAAACAGAATTATAAGAGTTATGCCCAGCTTCTCTTTGAGAGTTTCTTTCACGGACTGACAAATGCTGGTTTGCTTTGTAAATTGGAAGACAAAACCCTGGGAGTCCCTTTCATCTGAAGGAATGGAATCCAAAGAGTGATGCCCCCTGTCCTGCTTTCTGAGAAAAGCTGACCAGGCAGGAAGGGCACATTAGGAAGAAAGTTTGACTCAAGAAAAGTCAGCATGGGCTTCCATTTGATTTATTTGCTTCCATTTGGCAAAACCTGTTCTTTGTCAACAGCTCCTAGAGGAACTACCAGATATGCTGCTGCTTTCTGCTGCTAGACAGAAAGAATGGTGGATCACAGCTGCCTGATATTTTTTGTGAGTAAATTTGACACAGCAAAGACCACTGGAAGAGCCAAAGAGCCTTGTGCCAAGGGGCTGCCATGTTTCTGCTCCTCTTCTAGGTGTCTTCTAGTTTTGCTGCCTTTCCTGACCTCAGATTCCTGTACAGACTCCCATTAACATTCTGAATGTACTGTGGTGCCTATACCAGAGCTCCCCTGAAATGCAGCGAAACTTTCTGAAACCAGAGCAAGGAGGTCTTTACTTTCCAAGCTAAAAAACCTGGAAGCTGACACAGGATATCTTGGCAAACATGCTGCAAAAAGTACATTGATTCTGTCAGCCTCCCAGGCTGCAATGTAAAAGGCAATGTAACCACGTGCACAAGGGCAGGTTGCTCCCCAGGACTAGATTTGACAATGTACAAGACAAAGGTTGAGCTGAGAGCGGCTGGCTCTCTGCATCCAAGCAATAACCCAGCAGCTTATGTGCATGTGCCAAAACCAGTGCCGAGTTCATTTCTGCACAAACAGCAGAACACCTCTATTCCAGGACCACCAGGACACCTGAAGGATAATAAAGCAGGGGCAGAGTAATCACCGTATGAAATCTCCTCCTGTTTCAACTCCTTCCTCCCCACAAACTTGCAATAAGACACACAAATTGACCTTACACTGCATCCAGAGATGCATTTAGACCACTACCTGCAGGACTAGGACTTTAGATGTTTGCATTATGTAGCTACAGGGAGCTGGAAAAGTGCTGTCATCCTGCCCCATAAACAAGGTGGTGGAGTTTGAGGGCTCTTTTGCCACCTGCATACATGGGAAGCTTTGGTTGTCCTAAGGCACTTGGCAGGCAGACATCTCACAGCTGCAAAGAATTGCATGCCACGTGCCAGGACCAAAGTGGGGTCCTAGTTGGATCATTATTTTCAGCTATTACCTCAGAGGTGGCCAGGATGGCTCCTAGGGTGCAGTGCATAGATCCCCCAAAGTGGGGTGGATATAGTGGCATCATATCTGCGAGGATTTAGCACAGGGCTAAGCATGAGCCTTGCGTTGAGAGGGTTCAGTGAAGGCAGGAAGCAGCTGTATCTTGTGGGGCTGGGATCTGCTTGCTGAAGTGTAATGACCTATTTTCCAGCTTTTCCACTCAGGTGACAACGAAGCAGGAGCTGGGCTGCAACTAAAAGTGTCTGTAATGAACCTGCAGCCTACGCTGAGGGAGGGAGCAAGGGGGGAAGCAGCCAGGTGGAAAGTTTAAAACTACAAGGCACAAAGACACTAATAAAAAACATCTCTCTTCTCAGCTTCCCTAATCCTGCGAGCATTCTGAACAATGAACCATGCTTAGGGTAGACTGCAGAAGAATTGCTCCCTTGGAGGAGGCTGCCCTGCACGTGTTAACTGAGGCTCACAGAAAGAAAAGTGAGCAGGACTCACTGATTCCTTGCACCAGCAGGCACGGGTGTGTGTCTCAATCCTGCCCTCCCTGTGTAAGGGTAGTCTACACAATGGAGACCATGGCCCACACCAGTCTTCTCTACCTGGGGGTGCTGTACTACATGTATTGCCTGTTTTCTTCTGGGCTAAGTCATGTCACCTTGCCCTCCCAGGGTTGTTGGTAGTTCACATTGCTCCTCCCTTGGGCATCCAC